AATTAGAGACTAGTCCTGAGAGGGGACTAGTTTCCCTCCTGCAGTATACACTGTAATTTTTTGTTTTGTACTTTTACTTGGCTAATTTTTTTTTTTTTTTTTTTTTTTTTGCGCAGCGCGCATGACTCCACCTACCTGCTGCTGCTGCGATTGGGGTTGTGGAGGCCTACGGTCTATGGGTACGGAGGACGGAGGCCTCCGGCGTTGGGGGGCGGAGGTTTGCGGATTGCGTGCGTGCGTGTGGTCGGGGTTGCGAGTGTTAAGTGCGCGGAAAAGGTACGCTGTACGGCGTACGGGGTATGTACACGTAGGGTGGCAGTGTGCGTGTGCGTGTGCGTGTCAGCGCTTGCTTGAGCGCTTGCTCGCTTGGAGCTTGGAGCTGGCAACTTGCGTGCTGCCGCTGAGGTCGAGGGAGGGGGAGGGGAAAGGGAGTGAGAAAGGGAGTCGCTCGCGAAGGGGGCTGCAGACTGTGCACTACTGTGGGTGGGTTGTGGGTGCTTCTCGCTGCTGGCTGGCTTGCTTCTTCCTTCCTGCGACCTGCGACTTGCGTGCGCGCGCGCGAGTGTGTGTGTTTACCTAGGCATCGTGGGTGGGCATCGAGTAAGGACCAACCAAGCAAGACCCCAAAGACCAAGCTGGAGGTCTCGATCTCGAAGCCAGACAGACACATCGCCATCGCCATCGCAGCGCATCGACTAGGTATCGAGTCAACGCATCGCATCGATCACAGAAGGCTCTCGCCGCGGGATTCGCCTTCCCTCCGCAGTAACTATCTACCACGTCGGAGCCCCGCTAGCTCGCAGTCGCAGCTGTCGCGGCACCGAGGCGAGGCCCAAGGTACCTTGGGTAGGCTGCCGAAAGCCGTCGGCAGTGGTCGAGAAGGCTGAAGGATTCAGGCACGCAATTGGGGATTCTCTTGGCTTCGTCCTCGCAAGACCCATTGGTTCCTACAAGGCCACCAATGTGGTGGGTAGGAGGGCGCAAGGAGGACGAGGAGGGGTGGAGGGGTACGGAGCAGGTCCATCCTCCGCACGCCGCTGCCGCACGAGCGAGAGGGAGACCCATCTGTCGCATCCACGCATCCATCCTTCCTTTGCAGCGTCCTTGCCACACTAACTAGGTAGGTACTACGTACAGCGACTCTGACTCCTTCTCGCAGAAAGCCGGCGGCGCAGAGGCCCCCACCGCAAAGCTGGTCGAGACTCCGCGGCCGCCGTGTTGAGCAGCCCTTCGCCGCCGCAGGGTTCTGGCTCTGCCTCCGACACCGCCAGCACACCATGCAAGGAGCTACTATGTAAGACTATCTCCAGCGAGTGCTCGAGTCTTGGCCGCTGCGTGTCCCCACGAGGGGGGAGGGGTCGAGCCAAGAGCCAAGACGCGCGAGCACGATCGAGCTCGCGAGCGCGGAGGGGGAGGGTTGGCACCGATTTCGGGTGCGAGATCGCTTCCAGGTTTAGGAGAAGGAGGAAGAGGTGGGGGAGATGAGGGAGCAAGCCGCCCCTCTCATCTACCCTTTTCCCTCTTTCCCGCCCCTCGTTGAGTTGTTTTCCTTCCCTTTGATTTTTTGACTTAGTGGTGGTGATTGACAGGTTTGACGGCTTTGACGCCCGCGCCGCACAGACCGCGGTTCATGACGTCGATCGCAGATCAGAGATCAGATTTCCGGCAGATTCAGATTCGCGGGAGATCGTGGTGGCGAGGGCTGAGTGCGAGGCGTCATCGATTGTGTGGAAGGGGGAAGGAGGGAGAGAATGAGCAGCAGGAGCAGCAGCAGCCAGGACGAGCGTGAGATCATGGATGGATAGGTGGCGGCGATGATAGTGGTGGTAGTGGTAGTGCTGCTGCTGCTGCTTGTTGCTTGATGCTTTCTAGCTGTCTGCTACTACTACCTATCAAGGAATATCGCAGCTTGCTTTGTTCTACTCTACCCATTCCGTTCTTGCGCATGGACGAAGACGGCGCCCTCGCATACCACCTACCTACCCACCCATCCATCGCACCCCACGCGCGCGTGTAACCTCCGCACCCATCGATAGGTATCGATGTTCCTGACCCGCCTACGCCTAGCAGCAACAACGACAAGGACCCCGCGCCCCAGCACCAGCAGCATCAACACCAGCACCGCGCGCGCAACCCACGTTCTCTCCACCCTCCTCACTACCGTCGCCCCATCAATAACCATGGCCGCCAAACGCAAAGCCTCGACCGCAGACCCCTCCGCCGGCGCCCTCGCCGCCTCCCCGCCCCCCGCAAAGCGCATCACGCCCGTGCCCGTGCCCACCACCGCCTCCTCCGCGCGCAGAGCTGCGTCTTCGCGCGCCACAGCTGCGCGCGCCAGCACAGACGCGAATCCAGACACTAATCCGCAAGTTGTGGATTCAGCGGAGGCGCTGCGCGCGTCGCCGGATGGGGACGCGAGTGCTGGGATTGTGGGGGTGGCGGTGGAGCGGGGGGCCGGAGGGGGAGAGGGAGAGGGAGAAGAAATGGAGGGGGGAGTGAAAGGGAAGGGGAAGGGGAAGGGTAACGGGAAGGCGACGGCGAAGGCGAAGGGGAAAGCGGGTGTTAAGGTTGAGGAAGAGGAGGAGGACATGAAGGGCGCGGAGGGCGTGTTGGCAGGGGAGCTGGAAGCGGAGGCTGAGGCGGGCATGGAGGCCGATGAGGAGGAGGCGGTGCGCATAGCGTTGAGCCGACCGCCGCCGGTTCACAGCGATTACTTGCCGCTGCCGTGGAAGGGGCGGCTGGGCTACGTGAGTCTCCTCTACCTATCCACCAAAAGACTGCGCGTAGGCGCCAGTGGGCGAAGAGCAGCACACACACTAACGCACTTCCCAGGCCTGCCTAAACACATACCTCCGCTTCTCGACCCCGCCGGTCTTCAGTTCGCGCACCTGCCGCATCGCCTCGATCCTCGAGCACCGGCACCCGCTCAAGGACCCCTCGCAGCCAGAGCACGCGACCAAGAACCGCCCCGACAGGGAACAGCCGGCAGATGAGGCGCGCGGGCAGGCCTATGTGCAGAGTCTGGGGCTGGCGAACGCGAGAGATATTATCAAGATGGTGCGCTGGAATGACCGCTATGGCATCAAGTTCATGCGCCTGAGCAGCGAGATGTTCCCCTTTGCTAGCCATGAGGAGTACGGGTATACGCTTGCGCCATTTGCTGCGGACGTGCTGGCGGAGGCGGGGAAGGTGATTGCCGAGTTGGGGCATCGTGTGACGACGCATCCGGGGCAGGTAAGTACGCAGTGGAAGGCACTGAAGACGCCCACCCACCCCCCATCGCATAGATAGGTATATGCTAACACCCCAGCGCGGCCCTAGTTCACGCAACTCGGCTCGCCCCGCCAATCTGTCATCGACAACGCGATCCGCGACCTCATCTACCACGAAGAGATGCTATCGCTGCTGAAGCTGCCGCCGCAACAAGACCGCGACGCAGTAATGATCCTGCACCTAGGCGGCGTCTTCAACGACAAAGCCGCGACCATCGCCCGCTTCAAAGCCAACTACGCGCGCCTCTCACCCGCCATAAAGCGGCGGCTCGTGCTCGAGAACGACGACGTCAGCTGGCACGTCCACGACCTGCTGCCCATCTGCCAGGAGCTGGACATACCGCTCGTGCTCGACTTCCACCACCACAACATCCTGTTCGACAAGACGCAGCTGCGGGAGGGGACGGAAGACATCCGCGCGCTGTTCCCCGCGATTACCGAAACCTGGACTAGAAAGGGCATTACCCAGAAAATGCACTACTCGGAGCCGACCCCCGCAGCCATCACCCCCACCCAGCGCCGTAAACATAACCCCCGCCCCGCGACCCTGCCCCCTTGCCCTGATACCATGGACCTCATGATCGAGGCCAAGGACAAGGAACAGGCCGTCTTCGAACTCATGCGCAACTTCCGGCTGCCGGGCTGGGACAGGTTCAACGACATGATCCCGCACGTGCGCAGCGACGACAACCGGCCGCGGCCCGTGGCCAAAAAAGCTGCGCCGAAACGTAAATCTAAGAAAGGAGCCGCAGCCGAAGAAGACGAGGCAGCAGAGCCAGAGCCAGACGCAGAGCCTGCGCAAGTGGTTGTTGTGCCTAATGAAGACGTCGGCATGGGCGGCCCCGACTGCCGCGTCTACTGGCCCCCAGGCATGGAGGACTGGCTGCGCCCCGCCAAGCGCGTGATAGCGCCCAAAGCGGCAACCACGAGCGCCAAGCTGACGCCGGCGCAGAAGCGCAAGGCCAAGGCCGAGGCCGAGAAGGCCGCGGAGGCGGAGAAGGCCGCGGGAGCTGCGGGGGGTGAAGAGGACGGAGAAGACGGCGAAGAGGGCGAGGCGCCTGAAGTGACGAGCACGAAAGCAAAACGCCGCCGTGCCCCGGCTGGGAAAGAAACTGCTGCGCCAGCAAAGGCGAAGAAAGCGCCTACGACGAAATCGAAGGCGAAGGCGAAAGGGAAGACAAAGGCGAAAGTAGAAGAGAGTGAGGAAGAAGAAGAAGAAGAAGAAGCAGCAGAAAGCTCAGAGAACGCCGACCTGGACGCCGAGCTGCTGGATATAGACTCTGGCTCTGCTTCCGATGGCATGGACGTAGATGTACCGGCACGGAACGCGGGGGCGGGGCGGAGGAGCGCAAGAGCGAAGAGGGGGGGCCGGGTCAGCTATAAAGAGGATGGGGAGGGGAGTGAGTAGGGGGTAAGGGGTGTGTGTATAGAGTAAGGTAATAATAGACACAGTGCGTGCCTAGGTAGGTACCTATTTAGATTGGGTTTTAGGTTTGGACTTGTGTGTCCCTGAAGTGTGTATGTGTGTATGCTTGTTTGTTTGTATGTACGTAACATCGTTAAGATCTTTCGTGCGTCGGATGTACGGCGCGGCGCTTCTCGCGGTTTTTAGTCCTGCCGTTTGTCTGCCGTTTGTCTGTCTTTTCTCGCGCGTGATGGGCTGGGCCGCGAATGCCATTTTTGCGGATGTAGTATTTCGCGTAGACAGGACAGGACGACGACCAAGACGACGACAGCAATGACAGCAGCGGTGGCAGTAGGTAGTGGCACAGCAAAAAGCCAGTCCAGGCAGCACCCCTCCTTCACCCCCACTCACGCCCCCACCCCGACCATCGCCTCCGTCGTCCGCCCCAACCCCTCCTTAGCATAAAAGTCCATGGGATACGACCCGCGGGGCTCCACGTCATCGCCCTCGACCATCCATCCCGCCTCGCGCACCCCCAGCGCCACCAGCGCCTCGTACGGGCTCAGCAGCGGCCGCGGGAACGCGTAGCCCCAGTCGATGCTGAGGCGCGGGCACGCAATCTGCACCCAGGCCTCGACGCCGCCGTCGCTGTCGTCGCTGTCTGCCTCATCTCCGGCCTCGGCCTTACCGGCCTTGGCTCCGCCTCCGGCTGCGCTCATCAGCTGCAGCTTTCCGGGGAAGATCTCGCTGAGCAGGAGCTTGATGCAGGGGATGCCGCGGCGGCGAAGATGCTGCTCCAGCAGCGTGAGGGTGTGGGGATTTCCCTGCCGGCCCAGCGCGCCCAGAATCAAGCCCCATTTCCTGGCCTTGCGGGCGGCGAGGATGGCCGAGCGGCGCAGGGCGTACAGCTCGTCGTGGGCGTACGTCTCGTGCGTGAGGCGGCGGCTGTAGGGGTCGTAGCGGTAGGACGGCAGCGCGGGGTTGTGGATCTGCGCCGACTCGAGGTGGAAGCGGCCGTCGCCGATGTAGAGCAGCAGGTCTGCGGCGTTGGGGTCGTCGGCCGCAGCGCTGCTGCTGCTCTTGACCGCGATCTGGGGTGACGTGCAGCCGAGGATCTCGCCTTTGGAGAGCGGTGCGATTTGCGGGACTAGGACGCCGTAGCCCTCGCGCCGTAGCTGTGGTGCTAGGCCGTGTACGGTTGCGTTGAACTGGATCGTGCCCACCATGGCGATCGTCTTGCCCGGCGCAAAGTTGCGCTGGATTGTGTCGAGTAGGTGCTGCGTGTCGATGCCGATGGCGACGAAGACGTACAGCGTGGCGATGTTGGTGACGGCGACGGGGATCAGGCAGCTGTGCGCGTAGTGCACCAGCAGGTCGCAGCCGAGGGCGCGGGCGGTGAAGTCGTCGATGCAGCACGCGCCGTACGTCACGTCGCCCATGATGATGGTGGTGATGTTTGGGCAGAACTGCGTCAGGATGTCCGAGATGGTCGTGGCGAAGAGGAGCAGGCCCTCGGGAAACTGCAGCGCGACTGACTTGTGCCCGTGCGAGCGGATGCGGTGGATCGTCTTGTGGATCTCGAAGTTGTAGTTGGCGGGGAGCAGGGCGATGGCGGCGTTGATGTCGGCGTCGTCGAGAATGTCGGCGGGGATGTTGTTTAAAGCGCGGGCGGAGCGGCGGGGCTGCGCGACTGTCGGTGGGCCTCAGCATGCAGTACGTGTTTGTCGCGAAGCCTTCTTACCCTGTATGGCGCTGCTGTCCTCGATGTTGGCGTTGGGATCTGCCTTTGCGCGAGCGCTCTCGGCGGCCTTTCTGCCCACGAAGCGCTTCTTGGGCTGTTTGGGGGCGACATTCTGCTCGCGATCGAGCTCTTCGGCGGGCGTGGGGCCCAGATTGGTGGCGTCGCGGTCGTCTTCCATGGCGGGTGGTGGCGTGTGTCTGAGTGTGACTTTTCTGTACGGGTATAATTCTGGCCGGGATGTATTTAGCAGCACGCGCCTGCGAACATTCCAGCACGCTCAGCCCTACCGGCACTCGGGCCTTACCCCACATCCCTCTCATACCACCAAGTGCCACTCCAAATAAACATCATGTCCCTCACCATGTCCTTCCTCCAGAAACGCGCCTGTGCCCGTCTGGCCCGCACCGCCGTCCGTCCCGTCTGCTGGCGCTCCCTCGCCACCGCCACCACCACCACCACCACCAACACGCGCCCCATCAACGACCATGTCCGCATCGTCGAGGTCGGGCCGCGCGACGGCCTGCAGAACGAGAAGCAGACGATACCGCTAGACACGAAGATCGAGCTGGTCGAGCGCCTAGCACGCACGGGGCTGCAGACCATCGAAGCCGGCAGCTTCGTCAGCCCCAAATGGACGCCGCAGGTAACCAAAACCGCACGACGCGACTAACGTGGTGCTCATGCATGCGCGCAGATGGCCAATTCCTCGGAAATCCTCAACCACGTCCTCAACCACCCGCCACCGTCTGCCCTCCCCGTCACCTACCAGTTCCTGCTGCCGAATGAAAAGGGCCTCGACAATTTCCTCGACGTCTACAGCGCCCACGCCCTGCACGAGGTCAAGTCGTCGTCGTCCTCCTCCCAAGCCCCCAACACCGAGCCCTCAGGCCCCACGGGCTCCAGCACCTCCCCCCCAACCATCGAGCTCTCGATCTTCACCGCCGCGACCGAGACCTTCACGCAAAAAAACACAAACTGCAGCATCGCGGAATCGCTGCAACGATTCACGCCGCTAATCGCGCGCGCACGCTCACACAACCTCCGCGTACGAGCCTACATCTCCGTCGCGCTAGGCTGCCCCTACGAAGGGCCCGACGTGGACCCGCACGCCGTCGCCGCCCTCGCCGTGAACCTGCTCGAAATGGGCGCCGACACCATCTCCATCGCGGACACGACAGGGATGGGCACGGCACCGCGCACGCGCGAACTGCTCAAGACGCTCGCCGCCGCCGGCGTCGACATGGGCGACCTCGCGCTGCACTTCCACGACACGTACGGCCAGGCGCTCGTGAATGCCGTCGTGGGGCTCGAGGCCGGCGTGCGCGAGTTCGACGCCGCGGTTGCGGGGCTGGGCGGGTGTCCGTTTAGCCCGGGCGCGACGGGGAACGTGGCGACTGAGGACGTGGTGAGGCTTTTTGAGAGCTTGGGCCTGCGCACGGGTGTCGATATGGAGGAGTTGGCTAGCGCGGGGGAGTGGGTGAGCAGGGAGCTGGGGCGCGCGAATGAGAGTAGGGCTGGGAAGGCGACGTTGGCGCGGCTGAGGCGGGAGCGGGGGAAGAAGTTTGGCGAGACGAGGGGCGAGGCTGCGTGAGACGAGGGACGAGGCTGCATAGGCGCGGCTTTTACCTAGCTAGGCGTTTAGCTTATCGGCGTGTTTGTTTGCTCTTTGGCAGGATATAAGAAGTGCTTCAGTCAATCACTCACTCACTGCGTACGGCCGAGCGAAAAATACCACCATACCACACAGCCCATATCTAAGCTTAAACTCCTACATCCCAAACCGGCAACTCCAGTTCCTGCAGCCTCGAACGTAGGGGTAAAATCTCGAATCCACCAGCCAATGAGACGTCGAGCGCAGAGCTCAGGCGCGGAAGAGAGGGCCGTGCGTGCGTGTGGCATGGGCATGGGAGGGCGAGTGAATGAATGACTGAGTGGGCGGAACGATTTCCATATTCGTGTGCATGCGTATTACCTACTAAGCACCAACCATACCTACCAACACTACGACCCAAACCCGCTCCTCTGCCTACTAAACCCCGGCCTCACACTCGACGGCTGCTGCGTCTCCCAAGCCCTCAAGCAGTCCCTCACGTCCTCCAGCGCCGGATCATAGCGAGCGGACACAACCTCACTGTACTGGCGCACCACGCGCGTCATGCGGATCCCCGCCTCGGGGACATCGTCCTCGGGCGCCGGGGCGCCGCTGTCCGTGTCGTCGTCGTCGTCGCCGCCACCTCCGCCCATGCTCCCGGGCAGGCTGGGTTCGCGGGGCCCGCTGACCGTCGTCGTCCATCGCGCTGGTATGTCTGCCGGGGTGTGCAGGTCGGGCGGGAGCGCCACGCTCGACGTCTTGCGCGAGGGGGGCTGGAGCGGGGTGTGCAGGCCTGAGGGCGCGGCGCCTGCTGCTCCTGCTGCTGTTGTAATATTGCTGGCGTAGGCTTCCGTGCTGTAGTGGTATGGGTGCGCGTCGCTGGAGCTGGAGCCCGAGGGCCAGTCGGGCAGGAACGTCGTGAAGGAGACGGGGGAGAGCGCGGATGCGTTGAGAGACGTCGCTCCCGGGGCGGTGCCTGCTGCTTCGTTGGATTCTTTGGCCATGCTGAGCTTGCTGCTGACTGCGCGCGTGGCGAGGCCTAGGGCGTGCCCGGCTTTGCGGAAGAGAGGCAGCAGCGCGGGGAAGCAGGCTACCCAGAGGCCGCAGTGGCCTTCGCAGTGCGTCCATACGCCGATGTAGGTCGCCGTGTAGGTCCTGGGATGTGGTTAGTATTGGTGGGTATTTTTAGATTGACTTTGTCCGTAACCCGGCTGGCTTTTGACATGAACGCGAAAGTGCTTTCGGACTTACGTATTGACGTCTATTTGATATCTCATGATTGCTTCAAAACGTCAGTGTCATGAAAATAACCAAGTGGTTGCATACATACCAACCAACCGTATAATACCAGTCACTATCGTGAAGATGCCTGTATGATATAAGCGAACGTAATCTCATTCGTTCTGGATAGACTGCTGACCGACTGCAAAGGTAAGTCCGACGCGAACGGCGCGAATGTCGAACTTCAACCCCTTGTATAGCAGCCACATTGGCATGAGCAGCAGAATACAATCGAATAATACTCCAAACCCGGCTACGAACTACGTCAGTTTATCCTGTGATTATGCGAAAGAGTGGATGTTACCATGAACGAAGACCAGCCTCTCCTCGTGTTCAATTGACATGCAATTCGCGTGTCCCGATGCCTTGTCCCATAGATCTCTGCCAATGTAAACATAAAATCCCACATGCTCCGGAAGCAACTTACCCAATTGGATCGCATTCAAACAAGACGATGCAAAATGAGATGAGGGTAAGGACAGCGATACCAACTCCCACGCTATAGATTAGTACAAGGAAATTTCCTAGATAGTTGTCAGATGTTCCTCGACCACATAGTAAGTTGTTTGTCTTAGGGCAGGTTCACATTATAGTATCGAATGGCTGGTGTTCGGGTTTCGACGATGTAAACAGCGGCAGATGTAACAACTTACTATCCTTGGTCAAGCGAAGCATGACAGCATCAATCGATAGGCGGACGAATCCTGTTCCCAAAAAGTACAGTAATTGTTGGGTCGCGAGAAGCTTTCGATCATGGTCAGTGTTCAAGTCTTTCCTCTGACACAGACCACATACAGCGAAGTAGGTATGGACCTCGTTTGGTGGTACCTCCCATATGTTCTTGCCAGAGCCGTTGTAGGTTTCTTACAGGGCCGGATTAATGGCGGGCCCTTGACATGACTATAGTCCATGTCGGACTCACCAGCGAGTTCGCAAGACGTTTGTCCAAGGAGGAAGATCTATACGAAACTTGGTTGTTAGGTCTCAAAGTAGCAAACGAGTGAGAAGAACTCACCCAAGCAATCACTGCCAAAGCATCATCCGGACCTGGATTTCTGATCATGAAGAACCGTACGTAGAGACGCGCGAGCATAAAGACAGAGGAGATGATAATCAAGGAAACGGTCAGATCCCATAGGATCAGAGTCCTTCCATCCATTCCTTGAGGCATGATGACAAGTGATGGAGAGATGCAGCGGTGATTACACGATGTAAAGTAAATCCAGAACGTGAGCGAAGCTGCCAAGGTAAAATACAGACGAAGGGTCGTTCTTGCTATGTTTGTATGTTTTTGAGGCTACGGGAAGGGACATGCGAAGCGGCCAATCGCAACCGACTGAGTGCTTGCGGATAGTGACAGTGATTCTAGAAAACGGGAGTCTGAGACATGAGGCATTATGCAGCTTACACTCCATTACGCCTTGGATCAGTGAAGCATATGTCTGTTGCGAGAGAGGTAATTTAAATGATCGCAACTAGCCCGTCGACAAATATTCGAAGTTTCTTGAGAATATAACTGTAGTTTAACCCCGAAGGTTCCATGTTGTGCTGCATGGTTAGCAGGCACTCGATACTAGTGGTTCGGGCTCGAGGTCGAGTCTTTCTGAAAAAGGACATCATAGGCCCATTGCACCCGATTGAGACACCATGTCTTGGTAAACGCGCGCAGTCTTGGCGAAATGCGGCGAACACAGACGGTTACCGGACCATGGTCAACATAGCCGGAAGAGCAGTCTTTGTTCGATGGCTATGAACTTCAGGCTGGTCCATGATTGAGCATGACCCCCGTTCCCAGCGAAGTGAGTGGCAATGGATGGTGGTGGCAGAAATCAAGAGGTGGGTTCGGAGGTGCGTGCGGCGGTGATTTGCGGAGCGAGGTCGGTTGAGCAGTTAATCGTGGCCGATTTGCAACGGCATGGACCTCGGCATGGAGCTGGAACCAGTCATTGAATGATGACATTGAGATTTTTTCGTGTGCTGAACTTCTGTCCGGTCGGCAATTGGGATGTTTTCTGACCCCGCGGTGTTGGAGGCGGGCGGACAGAAGGTGGACGTGGTCAGGGATCGGCGGCGGCCCTCGTCACCGCGCGTGAGCTCCAACGAGGTTCCTGCCTTTAACAACAACACTCGCCGTGTCCCCACCCAGATGAATTCCTAGTCGCGTTGACTGCGCGCTGCTTCCAATCTGCCAGGCGACAGCAGAAATGAGCATGCTGTCGGCCTTCACGGCTCGTCCCATCGTCGAGCTCAAACAGCGCGACAAGTCAAGGATCGAGTCGATTCTTGCATACGGTATTTCCCCAGTATCCAGGCACTTACAAGTAGGCTCACTGACGGCTCTCAGGCGACAGGCTCTTGGTCGGTCTACACACTGGCTATCTGCGCATCTACAGAATAAACGAGGTCAATGACGAGCCCGACCCCACCGCCCAGCCCGAGACCGCCGATGACAGCGAAGAGGTTCCCAAGCCAAAGCAGCGCCCCGCCGACTTACTGCGTGAGGTTGAAAAGTTCTCACGGAGACCTATCCAGCAGCTTGCCATAATCAAAGAGGCCAATATCCTGGTGTCCTTGAGCGACAGTTATGTTTCCATCCACGACCTACAAAGTTACACTCTACAAGAGCGCCTTGAGAAGACTAGGGGGGCCACTTCTTTCGTCGTCACCTCCAACATCGTCAAAGATGCAAGCACCGGCATCCCGTCCATCGTGTCGCGCCTGGCGGTCGCTGTCAAGCGGAGGATAATACTGTGGTCATGGCAAGATATGGAGCTTTCGGAGGAGACTGCGGAGATTACGTTACCTGCAGCAGTAAAATCACTCACATGGGCGAGCGGAACAAAACTGGTAGTAGGCATGGACCCTGGATTCGTCATGGTCGATATTGAGAGCCAAGTAATCACGGATATCGTCAAGCCCGGAACGCTGAGCGACGCCTCTGGACAACAAGGAACCCGGTTTGGTGCCGTAACTTCGTCTGGTATGGGCTATATGGGTATGGGAAGCTGGGTGCCAAAGCCTATGGCCACTAAGCTTTCCGAAGGGGAAATGCTCTTAGCCAAGGATGTCAATACGCTGTTCATTGACACGGATGGAAAGGCGCTTGAGAGACGCCAGATCCCGTGGGCCTCTGCTCCTGAAGCATTAGGCTATTCGTATCCCTACATGCTCGCCCTTCAACCACCAGCAAAGGGAGCGCTTGAAGTGCGTAACCCGGACACGTTGTCTTTGTTGCAGACAATCAACCTACCCAACGCGGCATATTTGCATGTCCCTCAACCAAACATCAGCTTAGCGCACGCTGGGAAGGGATTCCTTGTCTCCAGTGACCGGTGCATTTGGCGCATGAGTGCGCTCGAGTACGAAGCACAGATTGATGAGCTTGTCGCGCAATCTCGCTTTGACGAAGCCATCAGTTTGGTGAACATGCTAGAAGACACTCTCTTGAAAGATAAGCATGGACGGATACGTGATACTCAAATCCTCAAAGCGCAAAGTCTATTTGAACAGCGACGCTACAGAGATGCTCTGGACCTGTTCTCTGATGCTCGCGCCCCACCGGAGAAGGTGGTTGCACTCTATCCCAAATCCATCTCTGGTGACTTGTCTATGATCGAAGAGTCGGGGGAGAGCGAGAGCGACTCGCATGACGAAAACAAGTCTACTGATGGCGAGAAGAGTGATGCCGAGGACAGGCACGGTGGCAGCGCGACTAATTCGCTCACCCGAGCAATGTTTGGCAGGTTAAGGGCTGACCCAAAGAGGCCTGACTCTGACGCCGGCTCTGTCCGGTCACTCAAGGTCGATTCGGACACAGCAAGCATCAAGGGCAAGAAATCTGCAGAGAACATCGGCGAAGAAAAACAACTGCGTAGGTTTATTTCTCAACGTTAAGGGTAATGTGCTGACGGCTTCGTAGAAGGGAAAGACTTGATCATGGCGGTTACCGCGCTCTTTGGCTTTTTGGCACAGACGCGAGCACAGCTGCAGAAATTCATAAACTACGATGGCTCTCTGAAGCAGCCTCTCCCATCGAAGGAAGAAAGAACCGAGGACTACAAACCTCCTTTCGCACAATTTCTTCTTCTTCCTGAAAACACGGAAGATATTGATTGGGCAGAGCGCTTGCACAAGGTAGCCAAGATTACTGACACCACCTTGTTCCGAGCTTACATGATGGCCCGTCCTGGCATGGCCGGTCCTCTTTTCCGCCTTGACAACTTTTGTGACCCAGAAGTTGTTAGGGAGAAGTTGTACGAGAGTGGACGGTACATCGATCTCATCGACTTCCTTCATGGCAAAAAGATGCACCACGAGGCACTGGAGCTGCTCGAGAAATTCGGACAGGGCGGAGATGAGGAAGATGTCTCGACTAGCTTGCGCGGACCGGAGCGAACTATTACCTATTTGCAACAGCTGCCGGCCGACCTGATCGATCTAATACTCGAATATGCAGAGTGGCCTGTACGAGTAGATCCGGAGAAGGGAATGGAGATATTCCTCGCGGACACGGAGAATGCCGAGTCTCTGCCTAGGGAGCGTGTACTGGACTTCTTGGACCGTGTCGACCCTAACCTCACGGTTCAGTATCTGGAACACATCATTAATGAACTCAACGACCAGTCGCCGGATCATCACCAACGTATCATCGACTTGTATCTGGAGCGGCTGAAGAAGGAGGAGAGTGATTTTAAGAATGCGGAAGAGCGGGTCGAATGGCATGATAAGCTACAGACGTTCCTCAAAACCAGCAGGCAATACAACAAGGCCCGAGTATTCAGGTCGTTGCCGGCAGATGGTAAGCATTCAGCTGGAAGTCGTTCGCGGGGACCGGATCTAACATGCACTATAGAGCCCGAATTCTTCGAGCCTCGTGCCATTGTGCTCAGCAAGATGGGCCAGCACAAACAGGCCCTCCAAATCTATGTCTTCCAAGTCCAAGACTATGACAAAGCAGAAGAGTTCGTCCCACATCCCTCCAGACCATTACTATACTAACACCTCACCCAGCTACTGCAACCAAACCTACCTCGCCGCCACCTCCGCCCCCGTCCCTGGCGTCGTAACACCGCCCAAAATCGCAAAAACCACGCACACGCCGCCACCACAAGATCCCGAAGACTCGACGCCGTCAATCTACCACACGCTGCTATCACTGTACCTAACGCCACCACCACCGCACACGGCGAATTGGCCGCCCGCGCTCGCCCTGCTCAGCAAGCACGGCGCGCGCCTCCCCGCCTCCAGCACGCTCGACCTGATCCCCGCGGTCCTGCCCGTCAAGGAGCTAGAATCGTATTTCCGCGGCCGCATCCGCAGCGCCAACTCAGTCCTCAACGAAGAGCGCATCGTTAGCCAGCTGCGGGGCGTCGAGAAGGCGGGCGTCGAGTCTGCGCTGCGGCTCGGTAACGGGAGCGCGGGCGTTGGCGGCGGGAAGAACAGACGCGTCGTTGTGGGCGAGGAGAGGCATTGTCGGGTTTGTGGCAAGCGGTTTGGTAGCGCTGCTATTAGGGTTTATCCTGATAACGAGGTCGTGCATTATGGGTGTTATGGACGGGGGAGGAACAGCGGGGCTGGGACGCCTTTGGAGACGGGGAGGAGGGGGTGGTAGTTGGGGTGTGCTTGTGGTAGAGAGTGTGTAATGTAGACATGATAATGCGCGCAGGCTTCTTGGTATGAATCCATGCTTGCTCACGTCGATGGTGTTTGAGGCTAGTCACATCGCAGGCAGAGCAACCATGCGTGTCCCTTCTTCGCCAGTGAACGGCACCACACAGTGTCCTGGCCTGGTCCAGTTGATCTGTTAAACCCAATCCAGTCCGTTCCATTTTTCTTTTCGAAACTTATGCCGCCACCCACCCACCCACCCATCCATCCATCCATCCATCCCTCCGTTCAACCGTCTGTCCCAGCCCGCCATTCCACACCTCGTCCATCCATCCATGCACTTCCAACCACCCACACAGCCCGCTAGCCATCACGCCCATGCATGCTCCACCAAGCTGACCTCTTGCCCCGACAAGCGTGTAATCGACGCGACGGCTTGCAACTCGCGTCTCGGCACGCGGGCGCTGGCGGGTTGTACGGCGAGGCAGCGCAACCGACCGACAGGCGAGGCAAAGCGGCGCAACACTGAGCCCACAAAGCCGTGCAAAGACGTGGATGGACGAGGAAAGAACAAGCAAGAAGCGGACAGGGCAGGTCAGACAAACCCTCAGCCATCCAGCCATCCATCCAACCATCCAACCCAACCCTTCAGAAACAAAAACCAGAACCAGAACCAGAACCAGAACCATGCAAACAAGGAGACAGGGGTAGATACTTGTACAGACAGTAGTGGCGACAAGCAAAAGAAAAGCCACAGCAAGAAAAGACAGAATGGACATAAAGCAGCAACGCAAACATGTAGGTAAGCAAACAACACCGTAGCGCGCCAGAAACAGAAAACCTCGCTCGCCGATCCTGGGTATCTTTGCCTCTTCTCTCTTTCTCTCTCTCTCTCGTGCTCTCTCTCTCTCTCTCTCTCTCTCGTGCTCTCTCTCTCTCTCTCTCGCTCTTTTGCTCTTTCGCTCTTTCGCGCTCCCGTTCGCGCTCCCGTTCGCGCTCCCGCCCCCGCTCCCGCTTTGCCGTAAATCCAAGCGCGTGCCACGCTCTAGTGTCCGCTGCTAGGGACGCTCTCTTTCGCTCTCTCTCGCCCGCTAATTTGCGAGCGAGCAAGCTCTTTCCAGGTAGTCGAAGAAGGCGGACTGAGGAAGCGGCGTCGCGGCGCGCGAACCTGCTGGCGCGCAGCTGAAGGCAGAAGGGGATGGCGGCGCTTCCGTCGTCTTTTCTCCGTGCCGCGCATGCGCGCACGCACGCATCGCCCGGCCTTTGGCCTCCTTGTCCCACCTCTTCACGTACGCTGTATGTTGTGGACCATTCTGCCACAAACAACTTTATCCCACCACCCCCCTACCCACGACTATGCGCGCTCATAGCGCCCAACCCCACCCCCTTCCTCCCCACGAAACCTTGCCTCTGCCGTCCTGTCCGCCCCCTCCCTAGCCAGTTATACTTCAGCTCGCGGCTCAAGCTCTCCATCTTAGCCTGCGGCTCGTCCCCGCTTCGAATGCTGCTCAGCACGCTAATGCACTGCAGCATCTTAGCGACCGTCTCGGTGACCTTAGCGCTATCCATGGGCTGCGCCGACGCGGCCGATGACGCCGCCGGCGGCGGCATAGTCGCGTTGCTGTTGCTGTGCGAGCGGCCGTGGCCGAGCTGCACGTTCGTCGGCAGCGAGTGGAACGAGCCGGCGGAGGTGTTGGACGTCGCGCGCGAGCGTGTGTTTGCACTGAAGGTTGCTGAGGCCGAGAAGGACGTGCTGGTGCTGTCGAGGATGTTGCTCGAGCCTTGGCTGGACTCGAAGCCGTCGGCCCCCAGCGAGATGCTGGTGCCGGGCCGGTGCGTGTATGTCGTCGTGCTGGTCTGGTGGCTTGACGTCTCGGACAGATACGAGGGGTCGCCGATGCCGGCGTTGATGTTTTCGAGCGAGAGGCGGGAGAAGATTGCCATGAGGGCGTCGTGGCGTGGCAAGAAGATGGAGTCGCGGAACATGAGGAGCGTGAGCCGCCGCACTTCTAGCTCTTCTCCTAGTGTGGGTACCGCTTTCGATTTTATGTTATCTGCGGCCTCATCGGGGTCACGCTTAGGCAGTGAAGCACCCCAGAACCCGGCTGCCTCGCGCGGGTTCATGATCCCGGCACCCCTGAATTCCAAATCGAGCGGCAGGAAGACTGCTTGCATGAAAGGGAGAATTTTGGTGAAGACCAAGTCCCACACTTCCACGAGTTTGGGAACAAGACGATCATCCGGAATATGGCGAAGAGTTTGATCGAGAGAGAGAAATCCGGTCAAGAGGAGTTCGTTGAGGTCCTCGACTACAATATGAGGAGCTTGGCGCTGAATGCAACGCCTGAGATGCATCGACACTAGAGAGTTGAAGTCTTCGATCGGCGGACGAGGATCCTGACCCTCGAAGATCAGCAACACTCGGGCCTTGATCAGAGGCCAGGCGTCATCGGGCGTCATCATTGTAACGCCGAAGATTGCGCTTAAAGTTGCTACAGAAGGTTGAGACGTCTCTAGGGTACCAAGGCCGGGCGTAGGCGCTGAAGTGCCCAAATTGTTCGGCCCTGGCCATTCCGCCCTTTCTAGCTGGAACGAAGGATCCCGCTCACGGTACGGTGTCTCGAGGCCAGACTCCAAAGACGCATTTGCCGCTTTCTCTTCCTTTTTCTTCTGGCGAAGCGCTCGTCCACCATGCCTAAGATCAAGTCCACTCATAGACTGCGCAAAGGTACTAGAATGGCCGGGTGAATTTGGTGCCGCGAAATTGTACAATGGCTGTGGGGCATGCGGATCCGTTGGCTTTGACGTGCTACTGGCAGAAGAGAGCGGCAAGTTGTGATGATCATCCTTCAGCTTATTCTTTTGTCGGGACAGGAAATGATGTCGATGCTTTTCCTTTTCCTTTTCCTTCTCTACGTGTGTAGTCACCCTCTCCATCGGAAGAAGAGTGGACGTAGAAGCGTTGGCCGAAGAATAGAGAGGAGTGTTAGGTATGTTGGGAGTTACTAGACTCGACGTCGACTGGTTCATAGCATGCGCTCCAGAGCTGTACAGGCCTTGCTTGTTGGGAGAAGGCAAAGCGGGGAGGTATTTTTCACTCTTGAGCGCATCTTTGTCCTTTGACAGCCCAAGGCTCTTGGGCTTCGAGAAGAGCTTCATCTTTGATTTTTCCTTTTCCTTCAGCGGCTTGTATTGACCCTCAGACATGCTCGGAGTCGCTGACCGTGGGGCCAGGTCCATTAAGCCGGGCGAGGCTAGCGGGCTGCGGGGGAAAACGCTGTTTGCTGCAGCGCTCGCAGGCCCCCTTTGGGCGGCGGCTGTGTCGATTTGGTGGAACGAAGGCACCTGCAGAGCGGGGGGCCTCAAGCCCATGCCAAGCTCAGGTGCTGGCGGCGTGGGCTGCGAGGGCTTACGGCGGGCGGTGTTGTTGTTAGACACACCTCCCTCGGGAATGGTCGCGGAGCGATTGCGATTGTGATTGCTGTCCTCGGACCTCGCGTGCATGGCGGTTTGTGCCGCAATCTGCGAGGCGGAGAGATTGGGCATGTTTGTCTGGTGGGCCGAGGGAAGTGAGGGCTCAAAGAAGCCCTGCGAGTGCTGGCGGGGGCGGTGTCCCAGATGGACTGGCGGGGTATTGGTGCCGGGCGAGTGGTTGCGCAGCGGCAGGTCGTTCAGCGGGCTCGAGACATTGGAGGTAACGGTGGGCCGCGGAGCTGGGGCGGGCGGGGAGATGCTCTGGTGCTTGTTCACGGTGAGGGCTGTGACGCGCGAGGTGTCCGAGTCGCTCTCGGAGTCGTTGTCGTAGTCGGTGGAGGCTCCGCGACGGCGGTAACTCGTGGGCGTCTGCTGGCCGGGCGGAGTGGGACGCGAGGGCGGCGAGGTCAGGACGGTGCGCGCGGGCGACGAGGCCATCTTGTGCGACGGGGCTGGGTAGCGATGTGGTATTCGTCGTCGTCGTCGGGTACAAACGTCAAGCCATGTCCGGCACGGCGGCGATGTGGGGCGAGAAGGCGGACAAACACGGCGAGGGCTCCGACGACGACGTCGCTGTAGGTAGTGGGTGCAGGTGGTATGTATGGATATGGGATCATAGGTGGGCGACCGAGTGGGAGGTCCTTCGTAGGGCTGAACACCGATCTCCGCCTGCTGCTGCTCGCCTTAAACCTCTCTCTCATTTCATCACCCACCCACTACCTTACCATCATCAGCACCACCACCACCACCACATGCCAGCCATGGCTTCCTCCCCCTCCACCCTGCGCGCCACCTACGCCTCGCCCTCCGACAACGACAAGGCCTTTACCCGCGAAATCGCCCCCACCCCGGACAAGACGGCCTTCCTCGCCGCATTGCGCACCTCCGTGACCGAGCTTCAAGCCGAGGTCAATGCCTTCGTGACGCAGAAGATGGACGACGACAAAAAGGCCGCCGGCATCGACGACAAGAACGACGCCGCCCTTGAGGAAAACTACGGCGAGGAAAATGTCCAGGAGGACTGAGGATACCCCGCTATACGGCGCACTCCACGTCGTTGACACCATGTAAAGACCGCATTTCGGGGAAGGAGGGGGTAAATTGAGCTGATGCCCAAGCAGCCCGCTTCCGGTCCCGCCTTGTGCGTGATTTGGGCACGCGAGACAGTAGATGAACGCGCCTGACGGACACGATGCGCTGCCCGCTCCCTGGTCTGCATGCCCTACATTGTGCCTCGGCTGGAAATTGCCAAGGCATTTTTCCGACTAAATGCCAGTAATTAAGAGCTATGGCGAATATGCGTGGCATCATGGCAATAATTTTGCTGCCTCCATTTTCTGCCAATTCATACATACATGGTCAAGGGGAGTAGCATAGTAGCCAAGCCAACAGCTACTCTTGCGAAAAAAGAAAGAGGGGAATGAAAAGAATAAAATAAAAAAATAGAAAAAAATCTTGATGCAAGACGACAAGTCTCCTAATCTCCCATATGTGGAATACAGGTGCATGTTCGCTTTGCTACTAGGTGTCATCACATACTTCTCAGCACGTGCAGCAGACAAGCTGCAGTAGCAAACACAAACAGTCGCTAAGAAAGCTCTTTTGTTCATACTGGATATAAATATCCAGTAAGTCGCTCATTAGATAGTTCAATTCAATTCACTTCCGTTCTCAAGATCAAACAGTGCATTGTGTACTCGGACAAACATATGGAGCTTAAACCATGTATTCTTTATTTATTATTCCAACTTTACAATTGGACTTACTGGTTTGTAGCAAGGTCTTATCACCGTCTAGCAACTGCTAAGCCTAAACGTAAGCCAGGTGGTGCGCTTTCAAGACAGACAAGAATCCGGGATGAAGGCTTGGTTGTTGAAGAGTTATAAATGGGATCGCAGGTAGTGAAAGAACTTCAAGGTGGGCGTTACAGGCAGCACGAGTCCCAAGTTGTCAACAATAGCTGAGGAATCCCTGTCAAGGACCTTTTCACAATCACCTAGTCGATCACCTTTCCACCCACCCCCAGTCACCGATGCTTTCCCATCGTCTGCAGTCAGCCAGTTATACCTCCGACGTTTTCGCATCCTTCATTCACACCCTTCCGGCCAGCGCAACTATAAATATACCATGTACGAGCCCCAACATCACTCCTACCCACAACGACAACCCGCAACGATGGTCCGGGAGAAACGCTACCAGGAGGACGCCGCCCGCCGCCAGGCCGCCGCGCAGCAGGCCGCCCCAAAGAAGACCACCATTGCCCGCCGCATGCGCAAACCCAGGCACAGACGCGAACTCAAGTCTACGACCAGCAAGGACGTCACCTCTGAGACTGAGTCCCATGTCAACTCCACCACCACAGAGTCCCAGCCCGCGGCTGAGCCCAAAGACAACCATACCGACACAGAGTCTGACTCCGACTCCGACTCTGAGCCCAAGCCTGAGCCTCTCACCGCCGAAGAGCTGAAAGAGCGCGAAGCCCAATGGCTCCAGTTCTACGACTATTGGATCGGCCAGCGCTGGGGCTATCTCATCAATGACGCCAAAAATAAGGGCATCATAGCCAAAGACCTTAACACCAACGTCACGACCTCCTTCTGGCCCTACATGCAGCAGTGTGACATTCGGGACAACCGCATCGCACTAATGCACTACCTCGTACGCTCCCATCACCCCTTCCCAACACCTTAACCACACGCACAGCCCTAACCATTCCCACAGAAAGAGTTCTACGACGCCGTCAGAGAGAACTACGAAGAGCCCTATCTCTACATCCACGCCGTTGCTCTGTGGGCCTACCCTGAGTGGAGCAAGGAAGACGTCCGTGACCCCAACAGCATCTGGGTATTGCGTGCGAACCTTCGGGACCCGGGCTTAGGGCGTAACAAGAATCGCGGTGAAAAGAGGCTGGAGGATGCCTGCTGGTGGGATTTTGGCTGGTATAAGCCCCCCGTCCCGCAGGCTTGGCGCGATGTCGAGATGAAGCGTATCGCGCAGTTGGCGGCTGAGCAGAACAAGGGTGACTAGAATGAGGGTGACCAGGATGCTGGTGCGAACTTGGTGATCGAGGAGCCTGCGAAGGACGCTTCTGCGGACGCGGTTGAAGACGATGCTTTGGTGGTGGTTGAAGATGATATCACGGGTCGTGGCTAGAATGGCGAGAGTTGCTACATCTAGGACTGAGACGGGACTTGGGCTTTGGTTTTTGTAGTCATTGGTTTCGGTTTGTTGGATACTGGCGAAGACTAGAACGAAGACGAAGACGGATACCTTGGTGGTGAGACACTTGCTCTGTCTTGTTTTACTCTTCCTTTACGATACCCTTCCTGTTGCTTGGTAGTTCTTTGAAGAGAGGGCTACATAATACATACTGGGTTTTTCGCCTCAACCCCTCTGTTCATGCCATGCTGGATCAAGCGACGTATGGCAGTTGGCTTAGCTTGTGTAAGTTGATCACTGAATGATTATAGAACCCTACCCAATGCTGTTGGAACAATTCCCAACGTGCTAGCTAAGTACTCCAGGGCGGTACGGCCTCTCTGGACGTCTGAACAACTACATACGATTCTCTTCTCTTCGCCTCTCCTATATTAAGGCAAAGGAAAGAATTGTTTAAAACTTCAAACACTTGCCATGGCAGAGGAAAAGATAAAATAGCAAGAGCATTTTCGGTCATTCAATCTGCCTACAATACTTCATTAGCATCACGACCATATCTAGAGTATTTAATCGTTTTAATCTGAAAACAAAGTCTTTGTTATGAAATTAACTATGTGTGGCAACGACAAGGGGTTGTTGAAGAGGTTGGCACGGGCTACACAATCGCCGGCGCGGGGAATCAAAAGAGACATCGGGGCTCATAGTACAGAACATGTTCGGAGGACCATTGTTTCGCTGTATGGCACTGAACTGGATATATATTGCCGACCTCGGTAAGGAATGGAACCACAGAATTTTAATGATATGAGGCTTTTAATTTTTGATATCTAGTAACAAAGCAAGAAGGAACAAAAACGACTTTTCTTCGCGCACAACCCATGAGCCTTCCCCAAACACCAAAAACAGCCTCAGCCTCCACAGGCCTCTCACCCCTCAACAACAACACTGACATTGAAAACTTCCACAACCGGCATCCCCAAAGCGCCATACAAACTGAACACAGCCGCAGAAAACAGCATCTTTTCACCGGCACCAAGCTGCTGCGGGGCGGTCATCGTGACGTTGATATCCTCCAGGACGTTGCTCTTGCTGGGACCAAGGTAGACAGATTCGACTGTTGTGCGGCCCAAGCTGTTGGGGTAGCCGGGCCAGGGCGCGAGCCCGAATGCCACGCTGATGTCTTGCACCGTTTGGATGTAGCCCGTAGGGTGCAGGGTTGCTGTGAAGGCGGCGCCTGGGGTGAGAGTGCCTGGGGCGGAGAGGCTGGTTATGCGGGCGTGGGCGAGGGGGAGGAGAGTGACAAGGAGGGAGTTGAGAGGGTTGGAGAGGCGCATTTTTGTGGTTATTGGTTATTGGTGGTGCTGGAGTCGTTTTTGAGTCTCCGTGCTCGAAGTTTGAAAGGTGGGACTAGGTTGTTTGACTGATTTGTTTGGATTGATAGTGGAAATGGACTTGTTTGTAGAGGAAAGTGATAGGGAGCTAGGAGGAAATCACTGCATCTGCAGTCTGCAGCCGGGCTTTATACTACAAAGAACTGGATTCTCACGGCGTTCTATCGTGATATGAATACACAACATATAATTGCAGCAACCATAATCTGAATCTTGGTACTCCATCTCGGCGGAAATTAGCCGAGAGGCTGTCAAGATCACTGACGAATGTTCTTGCGAGGTCCTACCACAAGACCGTAAGGTGCCGTGCAATGTGACATGCTGCTGCTATTTTCGGCTCGAGCTGGACTGAAACCTGGGGAGCATAATATAATGGCGTCGGGTAGTGGGGTGGTGTGCCATCTGAAGGCGTGGCGGCGCTGGGTAACGTTTCTGTGCAGCGTATCAAGGCACGTGACGTCGCAGAACAACGATGCTCTTTGTTTCTGCTCACTGTAGTTTCCTTTGGTGTGCGTTGGATCCTTTAGGTGACGGTACAATCAAAGCCACAAGGTCGAGGTCGTGAAGGGCTCGAGGGGTTGTGGAGTTGACTTGATGTGCAAGTCGACGCGAAGGAGCGTTTCCCGATAAGCGAACGCTGTTTGGCGGGGCTCCTGTCAGCCACCAGCGGAAACTATACTGCTACTCGCCTAGCCTCCGCTCCTCGATGAATCTCACTTCATCCACAAAATCCCCGAGAAACTTCTTTGATACCTTTTCTTATGTATATGCCATTGGGTACGTCCCACCTTTCGAAATGGTATGACAATGGTGGCAGAACTGCGCTTCAACTCCGCCTTCCAAAAGCGAACTCCTTCATACAACTTCATCGCCGACGACGCGCATCAACATGACCTCGGCGCATGAGTGTCCGCGGAGCTTGACAGGTTTGCGTCGTTCGTATCTCTGATCTGTATCCATGTCCTCTACAGCTTCACCACCCTGCCTACTAGGATCGTTTTATCTACATGCAGGTATTCATATTGCCGCATAGCCGCCGGAGCATTGAGGCCGTCATAACCAATCGATGTCCGAGGTGGTGCATTCCCCCCACCAAGCCTTGTGGCAAAACGCTTAATTAAGCTTATACGACATTCATTGCCGACTGGCGTCGGGGTTAAAGGTTGCGGAGACAATGGCCTTGGCTCACTTAAAGCCGTCCTATCATACCGCCATACTGTGCAATTTCAGGAGTAACCGTCGGGTGGTGTGCAACCTGCATGGCTTATGACCTAGGTCGCGGCAGCGTCTTCCGTCGGGGATAAGAGCGCGGATGCTGCATTTTCCGGCCGAGTTATGCAGAGGTTTGATGCACATGGCCCGCTCGGAGGTGGGGCCTGAAACACATTCGGCAATGATCATGCTGTTATGGAGTACGGATACATGGTGGCCAATTGCGGATTCTTGATTTTGGCTCTTCTACACGATCCGAGCATGCATTTCCTCGGCTTTTAATTACCCCTCTTCGATGCTCTCCGAACACTATAAAGACTGTCGGGTCTGCGACAAGGCGTCTTCAGAAGTCCTCCGAGGTGAACAGACAGCGGAGGCGTCCATGCTTTGAGCACAAAGACGACCAAAGCATATATTAGCTACATCCGTTCCATCGTCTCCTTTTTTTGATCCAAAGAACTCTTCTCTTTAAGTCGTATCTTAGGCAATACCTTACAATGCTCTTAGCTGAGCTCAATGCCCATGACATGGGCTTTGCGCTTCTAATCTTGGTAAGCTCTCCAAAGCCTATTGATATACAGCAATGTTGACGTCTTTCAGGCGATTTGTTACCCTCTCTGTGTTTCAATTTACAATGTCTTCTTCCATCCTCTTCGCAACTACCCAGGTCCAAAGCTCAATGCTGTAACTCGGCTTCCCTGGATAATCAGCTTGTGGAAAGGAGAGAGTGCGCACTACTACAGGCGTCTCCACGAACAGTATGGCGAGGTCGTACGCGTTAATTCGAACGAACTGAGTTACACGAATGCAGCGGCCTGGAAAGACATATATGGCCACCGGACAGCAGGCAGAGAGTCATTTGAGAAAGACAAAACTTTCCTCGGTTCTGACCTCGTGGGCAAGAACGGCATCACTAGGACCCCTGGTGATGCCAACCACGCGCGTGTCCGCAGAATCTTCGCGCACGCATTCTCAGACCGCGCATTGAAGGAGCAACAAACTCTCCTCCTGGAGCACGTCAACCAGCTGGTTACAAACATAGAGAAACTCATCGACGCCGACGCAAAGGTTGGCATTTCTGACCTGTACAACTTCACCACCTTCGACATCATCGGCGACCTCACGTTCGGTGAGCACCTCGGCCTGCTCCAGAACAACAACTACACCCCATGGGTTTCCGCGATCTTCGACAACGCGCGACTCATGGTGTTCGGCCAGATCATACGCATGTACCCTCGTCTCGACAAGGTCCTCCAATACTTCATCCCTCAGCACCTCAAAGAGCAGAGGAAAAAACAGGTCAAGTACACCGTCGAGCGAGTCAGCAAGCGGCTGGCCAAGCAAACCGACCGCCCCGACATCTGGACCTACGTCTTGAAGCACAACAGCAAGGACGAAGAACCTCTCACGCTCCCCGAGATGCACAGCACGGCTAGCACGCTCATGATCGCCGGCTCTGAAACCACGGCTACGTTGCTGAGCGGCCTTACCTATTTGCTTCTGAAGAACCCACACACGCTCGAGAGATTGTGCAATGAGATTCGCGGCGCCTTTAAGAGCACCGACGAGATGGACATGAACTCACTGGCGCGGTTGGAGTACCTGAACGGGTGTCTTGAGGAGGCGTTGCGTATCTACCCGCCCGTGTCCGTTGGCATGCCGCGCTTGGTCCCGCCACGCGGCGGAATTGTCAACGGGAAGATGCTTCCCGGCGGCGTAAGTGTTACCATAACTAAACTTCTCAGTTTGATCTTCAATAGCTGATTCCGAACGTGTAGGCCACCGTCTCGGTCAACAACCTCGCGGCCTACCACTCCCCCGCCAACTTCCACCGCCCCGACGACTTTATCCCCGAGCGCTGGCTTCCTGATGCCAGTCCCAGATTCGCTGCGGATGAGAAAGCAGTGTTGCAGCCATTTTCGTTTGGGCCGAGGAACTGCTTGGGCAAGAAGTGCGTACCCCTTCCCTTTCTCCTTGTTTCAGTTTGTCGGATTTTGTAATGCGGATTGGATGCTGACGATTCGATAGCCTTGCATACCACGAAATGCGCCTCATCATGTCCAACCTGCTCTACCGCTTCGACTTTGAGGCTCTGTCTCCGGAATCAGAGAACTGGATGGACCAGCGCATTTATTTGTTCTATGAGAAGTCGAAGTTGATGGTTAAAATGAAGAGACGTGTTTAGGCTCAGTCTGGTGAATGGAGGGTTTGTTGGTTGTTGGATATGATTTGGGAAATTGCTTTTGCAGTGTAATATTGGTTTTCAGCGGTTTCGGTCGTTTGATCTATAGCACTTAAATAATTGACGCTTTTTTGTATGTATATATGTCTATATACAATTACAGTGATGGAAAGCCCTTTAAAACTATGGATCATTATCAAGCCTGTTGAAGCGTACTGTTTGTCGCTCTTACTTGCGATACCGTCACCACACCCATCATGCTCTGGTTGGCAAGTTAATGGTGACAACGACGTATACCGTAGCGAAGACCGCGTACAGTCCGCCATAAACTTCTCAGACCATTCCCACAGGTAGAGAGCAAACGATGATGGACTTCTAGCACTGCTAATCATCGTTAAATTCTCGCGCATATAGTCGTCGTCATAAGGGCTAAATGATGCTCGATTTTATAAGGGGAAACGGTAGTCTTCTGGACCGCCTACTAGGACTGAGCGGCAACGCCCAGTTGAACATAGTAATAATTTCAGATTGTTGCTCGTCCAGCATCTTATTGTACGTCATTTCTTACGCACTTTCGAGTAATTAGTTGTATTCTTTTTACCTTGAAGCAGGTGTAAGTCGCACAATGCTCAAAGATTCCGCTCGCTTTTTTGATGGCTGTATTTTTATAGCCCTCCATGTTGGTCTGTGTCCTCGTCTTTGTTGAGCGTTACTGTTGTGTAATAGTGATAGTTTGTGAGAAACAAGACCTGATCTTACTTCCACTCTATAGCTATGAGATAGCTGAGGCGGCACTGCAAGTTTTGGAGACTTTCGAATAATACGGGCTCAACCTACTTGTATATCCACAAGTGAGTTTAGTAGCAAAGACTATCTGACAGCACTGAACTAGCATATCAAAAACAGGGGAAGAATGTTCGAATGTTCGACCTGTAGTCTGTGACTGACAAGTACTAAGCCATTTGACGATGCCTTAAACAGTTTATGGCAGCGAACAGCGATCTTAATGCGAAAAGTTGGTAAAGGAGACAACCTTGGATTCTCGTTCCTCTTGGCTGTGATAATAATACTGCAATGAGCCGCGCCAACGCTGAGCGATGATGATTGACATCATTAATATGCGATACCGCCTCGCGACAACGTAACTTGTCGTTGGTCGTTTTCAGCCTTGAACACGGAAGCTCGGAGCTGCTTAGCAGTCTTGTTAGACTCATCGATGGCTTCAAGGTGAGCTTCGATATTTCTTTGCGGGTAGAATCCAGCTCGATCGGATACAGTAATAGACTCTCAGGCCTTCCTTGTAACTGAAGTTGATCAGATAAAAGGAGACTTTTTGACCAATCAAAGTCTCCCATACTTACCATCGGATGCCTTTTGAGTTGGTGAGTTCACCAGCAGCTTTGGCACGAGGTTGTTGTCGACACTAAGCGGTAAAAACCACGGGCGAGCAACTCGATCACTGACTGTGAAACACTGTTTAGGTAGTCGTATCCTAGACGTCAGATCGTCTTCGCATAGCTCTTGCCAGAAGCGACAGTACAACAATATCTACTTCGCTCAGCTCGACTTCCTAATGCATACCCCAACCAAACCACATTCTCCCTTACCAACGAAACCCACCACAATCTCGCCTCAACCCCCTTCACCACCCCTAAATACTAACAAAAAAGCTCTTCTCTCCCTCCCTCGGCACAACCCTCGCCCTCTTCACAATCGGATCCGCGCAAGAAACCCTAATGCGCTCCACCGTCGCCGGACTCTGCAGCTCCAGCACAGTTTCCTCGCCAAACTCCTTCCTCGCCGCCTTTAACGCATCCCTAATCGCAAAGAAGACGGCCGAGCCCATGAACAGCGGTGGCTCGCCCACGCCGCGCGAGCGCTGGATCGTGCGCAGGTTCTCCCAGTTGACGTCCTTGAGCAGACTGACGTTGAACTCCTGGGGGATGTCGCGGAAGCCAGGGATCTTGTAGGCGCCGGGGCCGCGTGTGAATATCTGTCCAGAGCCTCGGTGCCAGAGCATCTCTTCGGTTGTGAAGAGGCCTTGGCCTTGCATAAATGCGCCTTCGATCTGGCCGTAGTCGATTGCAGGGTTGATGCTTCGCCCCACGTCCATTTTGATGTCCGCGCGCCGGCATGTCCAGTCGCCTGTTAGTGTGTCGATTTCTACTTCGGCGGCCGTTACGCCCTGCGTGAAGTAGAAGTACATCTGGCCTGTGTTCGGGCCCCACACGTATCCGATGTCAGGTGTCTTGTAGAAGCCGTTGGCTGACAAGTTTACGCGATCGAAGTAGGCTGCGTGCGCAAGTTGTTTCATGGTTGCCTCCGGACCGAGCTTTTCGCGGTAGGGCTGCAGACGCTCATTCAGTTGAGAACAGGCATTCCAAACAGCGTAGCCGTTGAGATCGGAGGAGGCAGATGCTGCGGTTGAGGAGGTATTTGCAACGGTGTTGGTTGCTGTCTCGCTAATATGAACGTCTTCTTGTGGGATCTTGAGAGCTTCGGCAGCAATCATTGTCATCTTAGTGTGCAGACCTTGTCCCATCTCCGTACCACCATGAGCAAGTAACACAGTTCCATCATGGTAGATGTGGACGAGTGCTCCAGCTTGGTTGAGGAAGAGCGCAGTGAAAGAGATACCAAACTTGGTGGGGATGAGGGAGATGCCGCGCTTGTTCCACTTGTGCGTCTTGTTAAACTCTTCAATTTCCTGGCGCCGGCGTGCATATTCAGACTCCTCCTGAACTTGCTCGTACATCAAAGGTACGTAGAAGTCCTTGAGTTCCTGGTTGAAGTGAGTTATGTCACCAGCCTTGTACATGTTGATCTGGCGGAACTTGTCCACAGAGATGCCTAAGTGGTCGGCAACTTCCTCCATATATGTCTCAGCGATGAACATGCCTTGAGGACCACCGAATCCTCGGAAAGCAGTGTTCGAGACCGTGTTTGTCTTGCAAACCCGACCGCGGACATGGACATTGGGAATAAGGTAAACGCCATCGATGTGTGAGCAAGCCCTGTCAACGACAGCACCACTGAGGTCTTGGCTCCAGCCTCCATTGTTAAAAACATCGGCATCCAAAGCCTGAATCTTGTAGTCTTTGTTGACAGCGATCTTCCATCTTCCAAGGAATGGATGCCTCTGGCCGGAGGTAATGATGTCCTCGTCGCGGTTAAGCATGCAACGAACAGGGCGTTTAGCCTTCTTTGCGGCAGCAGCTACGATACCGGCGAGCTGGATCGAACGGGTTTCTTTGCCTCCAAACCCACCGCCCATACGCTTGACCCTCGTGACGACTTTGTTAGCAGCCACACCTGTGACTTGAGCAACGTATGTTTGCCTTTTCTCAATTAGCTTGTGTAAACCTTTCAAAGAAGAAAAGGTACTTACGTCTCTGAAGGGTTTTGCGTGCTGCTAAAGACCTCCATTTCGCCATCCTCGGGTTTCGGAACGGCAACGCAGGCCATAGTCTCCAAGTAGAAATGCTCCTGGCCACCCATACGGGCAATACCAGAAAAGACAAAGTCAGCATCCTTGAAGGCTTTGTCCGTATCACCTTTCTTGATAAATCTGTAGTGGTCGAAGTAGCTCCCCTTCTCGATAGCCTCTTCAATTGTGAAGATAGCTGGGAGTTCCTCGTACTCGACCTTCACAGCTCTGGCAGCTTGCTCAGCGTGCTTGGCGCTGTCCGCCAGGATCATACCTATGGGCTGGCCAGCAGTGAACACCTCATCAACGGCAAAAAAGACTTCGTCGCAGCAAGGAGCGCCCCACCAATTCGCCTCGGGGCTGGGAAGGTCGGTGTGGTCGACCCAATCCACAACGCCAGGTAGGTCAAGCGCAGCGGAAGGATTGACACCAAGGAGTTTTGCGTGCGCCTTTGTTGAAAGCACCATACAGCCGTATAACTCGTTCCTTTGAACAGGGATGTCATCGGTGTACTGCGCTTCACCAGTAGTTTGCTTTAATGCCGCGACGTGAGGTCGCTCCTTGCCGAGAATCTTTTGGGAGTAGGAGTCCGCAACCGAATGGTCCTTCTTTCCGTGGGATATCTGGCGCTCAATTTCGCCAATGGCTTCCTTGTCAATCTCGGCTTCTTTGGCTTGTAATTCAGCCAAGACTTCGTGATAGAACTTGTAGAAGAAGCCCAGCGCCAGAGACTTCCGGTAAGTCGCCATACCGCCTGGAACGCCGAAGCGCAAATCGAAGTCTTCCTCCAATGCACTAAAAGCGCCCTCCAAGGTGGAAGGATCTGTCCACTTCTTACCGACCAGGTATTCGTTTGCCTTTTTTGCCGCAATGGTGATCGGAGCCATACCACCGTAGACTAGATTGACATTATCAACAGTGTATGCATCGCTGAGCGATACGCGCAAGGCAGCGTTGACGATGGCAATATCATCATCCTTCCGCTTAGCTTGCTTGTAGGCGCGCATATACTCGCCCCTCTCCTTTGAAATTGGAATGCGCAAGCTAGCGATGACGGCATCGGGCGGAAGGGCAGTGAGTCTATATCCCTTGAAAAACTCCGCCATGGGAATTTCGATCGTTTTGTCCAAACTCTTGGCAACAAGCGTGGCGTTTGAAGCAACGAAGACTGGGTTTAAGTCCGAAATAGGAGAGGCCGTGGCAAGGTTACCGGCGGGTGTTCCAACGTTACGGATCTGTCTGCCAGCAAAATAACGAATCTGTTTGAGAATGGCGGCGAATGGCTGTCCCTTTGCATCGCCATAGTGTTTGATGGCCTCCTTTGCAATCTTTTCCAGATCAGTGAGTACCACGTTACCCCCTATCTCGAGGTGATCGTCTTTGAAAGAATACTGCCTCAACTCCGGAATATCTCCTACGAAAACCGAGGCGGTGTACTGCATGCCCTTGAACTTGACCTCAATCTGCGTCTCGGTGCTTCCACCGATGATCTTAGCCGAGGGATATGCGTTCTTGATCTCCAGCAATTGTTGCAGAGTTGCAGGCCTGAACCATCTCTTTCTCTTGTTTCCAAAAGCCAGTGGTTTGAATTCGTGCTTCCGCAGCTGAGGAGGGAATATAAGCTCGGTATCTGGCTTGTACTCAATGAATCCAGGCGGAGTGAAACGCTTAATGGGCTGCGCATCACCGTCGACACCATCTGACTGGGATTTGCAACAACCGTTCGTGCCGTTCGTGCCGTTAGTCTTCTCCATGCAGCATCCGCCACCTCCATTTGCTGTTGCTTTTCCACATCCTCCTTTTGCGCTGAAGCTCTGTGCTGCATCCAGGATTGGTCTGTATCCTGTACACCTGCAGAGGTTGCCATCGAAAGCTTCTTCCACGTCATGTTCGGACGGGTCAGGATCATTGCGGAGGAGAGCATACAGACTCTAAACTAGCGATTAGCATGTGACAACAGGATAGATATACTCATTTGCCACCAACCATGACGATACCAGGCGTACAAAAGCCACACTGGCTTCCATTCATTTTCGCGATCCGTTCCTGAGTCGGATGCGGCCTGTTCACGTTTCCAATACCCTCCACGGTGATGACATGTTTCCCGTCCACACTGACCAGCGGCGCCAGACATGCGTTCACACTGGCATGGTAAATCTGCTTTGTCGTCGGATTCCACTGGCTCACGACAACCGTACAGGCGCCACAGCCGCCCTCTGCGCAGCCGAGCTTCGTGCCTGTCAGACCGATGCCGCGCAGGTATTCCAGCAGCGTGACTTCCGGATCGGCATCGTCCAGTACTACCCTGGTGCCGTTAAGATAAAAGCGCAGCGTATCGTCGTAGGATTCGACCACGGAAGACAGCGATTTGGTGGAAGATTCGGGAACGGCTGGTTCAACAAGGCCAGGCGTCATTTTCGAGTTGAAACTGGACAGGATCTTGATTAAGGGGTTGACTTGAAGAAAGCGACTATCGGTGGAGAAAATCGATGCTTTGCGGATCTAAGCAGGTGGGTAGAGCTGATCCGCCGCTCTGCCGGCCGGGGGGCGAATGTAGAAAACGCGGGGTATCACGGAGAAGATATGGAACTAGACGCTCGCAGCGGGGAAGGAACAAGATTAAAATAGACGTAGAAGAAAGAGGCGAAGGAGCACGAGAGAACAAGTAGTGGGGAAAGGTGTATAGACGGCGGAAGCTTATCGCGCCGCGATGCGGGTGTGCAGATGCATTTGAAGGAATGCGGCGATGCCCGTCAGACAGTTTGGTGGGGCAAGGGTCTCGAGCGCTGAATGCGAGCACACCGATTGGCCCGAGAGCCCTTGCTGCCGACCACCATCCCGTGCACCTGCTTCGTATCACTGGCGAGATTGTCGACGACATCATCAATCACAAAGGCTTTCTTATTGAACTACTAAAGGTTGAGTAACCGAATCTCCTAAGCCATAAACGTATGGTATCCGTGAAGCACCCATTCCCAATAAACGCTGCTGACGGCCAAGCAGCCTCCACTAAAACCCATCCACAGCAAACAAATCGATCGTGATCCAAACCTCGAGAAGATGAAGAACAAAGCAGGGGACTTTTTGCGGGGTGGCAAGCATGTGGCAGACTAGTGGTCACTGCCTTTGTCGAGTATGCGCTTATAAGTTGCTTAAAAGGGCCATTGATGCGGTGAGAGAAGCCAAGCCGATGAGAAATCGCACCGTCAACTCATCGAGCCGCGCAGGCATTATTGACAACACCAAAGCGCAGATCAGCTTTCAAGTGCGTTACCAAGGGACGTTTGGCAGAAAAAGCCATCCAGTTTTCTCGGGCGCATAAGATGCAGAGTCGGGCGTGTCATCGCATAGCCACAGCAAGAGAGATGTCGGTCCAGGGGTGAGCAGGTCAAGCAAGATACGCAGACTCAATCAAGAGAGGGCCAAGTCGGAGCCATATGTCTCAGAGGTCAAAGAAGCGCTCGTGGACAGTCGCAGATCAGAACATCGGCAGTCGGGATCCATGGAGAGCGTGTGCAGCCAGTCAAGCCATGAGTAAGCAGAAAGCATCAGCCATCGTCAAGCATGCATGCAAGCAGTAGTCGAGTGTCAGGCGCAAACCGCATCATCGATCCTCAAAGCATCGGTGTCACAGTCTTAAGACGGTCACGCGGTCGCCTAGGCTCCGGGAGGCTGCTGGCCCGGCGTTGGCGTCTGGCCTTGGGTCTGTTGCTGGCCGGCCAGGGCGGCGTACCACATAGCCATGTAGTTTTGGTAGCCGCCATAGACGGCATACGGGTCAGCTCCCGCGGCAGCAGCATCGGCTCCTCCTTGAGCACCAGCAGGCTGCTGCTGTGGCATACCTGCGGGCTGCTGCTGCGCGTACGGCTGTTGTTGCTGCGGTTGTGAGTAGCGGTCACTGTACGGATCGTTGTCACGGCCACGGCCACCTCGACCACCCAAACCACCGTTCTTCTCACGCTGACGCTAGGGTCAGAGTCAGTGCGCTCGAACTGTCAAAAATTATACGGTTAGAAGGAAGACTCACCACTGTGTCTACCTTCTCCCAGATGGCCCGTGTGGCATCTTCGATAGCCTGACGGGTACCTACAAGGCCGATTTCACGTTCAATATCGGCACCGGATGCTTGAGAGACATTAATCTTGCAACCAGTGGTGTTCTGCATTTCCTTGATGGTTTCGCCACCTAAGTGGCTAGTTAGTACATGTGGGGCGGTCGACTTCATGGGTTTTACTTGCCTTTACCAATAATCATACCAACAGCTTCGGAGGGAACAACAACGGTGTCATTTATCTTGCCGCCACCAGGCGCCTCAAAACTGGGACGCCCGTGTTCCTTTACCGGTGGGCCGGAAGGCCGGGTGTCGCTTTCAACGATTTCGAGGATTAGCTCCTTAGCGCGAGCAGCAGATTCTTTGCTGCCAATGAGGTTGACGGGCCGCAGTCCGTTCACACTCTTGTTCTCGCCAACAATGTTGACGTGGCATCCACTCCGCTCCTGAAGGTCACGAATCGTCTCGCCTTGTCGGCCAATGATCAGTCCAACAGTACGATCAGGAACCATGATCTGAACGCTATCCTCTCCTACACGTAGAGCGGGCTGATTGCCTCTCTGTGTTTTGACTCCTCGGCTTGTGGGCGTGTCCCTCGATGACTGGCCTCCGTTCTCATCGATGATTCTGAAGATTTCTCTCTTTGCATCTACACGAGCACGTGTATTACCAGAAATCCTGCATTGCCGCTGAGGACCACCAGCTTCAGGACCAGTGACAAATTGAATTCTAGTGCCAGTGTCCTGCTCAATTCTGCGGAGATTCTCGCCCTGGCGTCCGATGACCAAGCCGACAAGGGAAGACTCAATCGTGATGGTTTCACTGTCATCGCCACGGGGTGGGGAGCGATCACGGTTGTAACTAGTACGCTGAGGTGAAAAAGGTTCCCGACTGCGACCGGGGGGTGAGCGCGATCTGTCCCGTCCGTAGCCACCACGGCGCGCATCGTCCCGCCTCTCATCGCGATAGGGGTTAGGAGGATTGTAACTGTCACGGTAATTGTCGCGACGAGGAGGGGAACGCGACCGCGACCGCGAGCGACGATATGAGCGTCCAGCTAGCCTTGGGTCTTCACGGACGGGGCCTAAAAAGGGTGAAGTCAGCTTAGCAGCGTGCGGGATACTGGGCGGATAATCTCACCTGCGCTGGCCCTTCCTCCATCGTACGGTTGCAAGCCTTTCTCAGTTGCAATATTCCGCGCCTTCGCAAGTGCGTCGGCGATGCTCACGGAACCGGTGCTAACTGGCTTGATGGAGCTCAGATCAACACTGCCGGAGCTTGTAGGCTGTGGGAGTCCATAGGCGGGCATTCCGGTAGGCGGCGTAGGCGTCATGTATGCGCCAGAAAAGCCTTGAGGCAGACCTGGAGCACCTGGCGCTTGCTGTTGCGGCGGCGGTTGCTGCGCCTGGGATGGAGTGCTGGCGGGGCGCTGCGCAGCTACACACATTGTTAGACTACTAAGGCGATCTCGCATGGATGAAAGATGAACATGGCATACCCAGTGCCGCCAGGATTTGCGATATGTCAGCTTGACCTGCCATTGCGATCCGAAGGCCTCTGGTCGAGACAAGTACGGAAAAAGAGCGCCTGTCGAGGTGACGGAAGCGCGAATAAAGAAAGGAAGGAAAAAAGGGCTGAGGCCACGTCAAGCAAGATGCCGTTGACCGCAAGCAAAGTGACGCTTTTGTGGTGTCGCGGACGTTGAACTTTGGAGCTGCGGAAAGAAAGAAGATGGCGCGCGTCGACCTTTCCTTAACCGGTTAGCACGTTTGGGGATCTTTGCTCCTCGCCAAGCCCGCCCTCCCGAGGCCCTGGCCGCCTGCCGGTTTGCGACCACAGGACAACACACAGCTGGACACGGTAGTTGATTCGTAGCAGTTGCATGCTGTCAGGGGCTTTTTCAACAATACTCATACTTCTCTAGAAGCCCAATCGCATCTTGACATTTGTTGTAAGTCTTTGTGTTTCCATCACTGCAATGAGGGCGGACTGATCATCCGGTCCTCGCGCATTCCTTTACGTAGGAAGACACACATAATGCATCGAGGTGCTTGTAGTTGAATGTCACGGGATAGTTCCAGGTTACGCATCGAAATGAGGCAGAGAGATAGAGAGAGAGAGAGAGAGAGAGAGAGAGTCAGTTGGCCTTATTTCATCTAGTAGGCTCTAGATAATTTGCTCTCCCTTTCGATTGTCTATCCGCTCAACTACCCACCAACTATAGTCAAATGCCTACCGAGTTACACCTACGATAGCTATAGTTGGCTTCAAATCGACCCTTGAACATCCTACATGGTTACAAGGGCAGGAATTTCTAAGGGTAAGAAGGTAAAAGTTAAATCACGAAGCATGAGCAACTTATTCGATTGAACAATGTTGTTAAGGGAAGGAAAAGAAAGATCTACTCGGGGCATAGAGAACTTTAACGTCCGTCACTGTGAAGTGAGATTTACTATGAAGCGACATGGTGATGTTTATATGGGGTAGAAGAAGAGACCCAGTTAAGATATGTAGAGTCTATGTATGCTCTAAGACCTTTTCACTCATACCAGGGACTCGGGCTGGGAGCTAGGCAAGGAGTACTCTGTAGGGACTGCTTGTATCGTCCCCTGTTTCGCTAGACGGTGGATCTCGGTTCGCAGTGACGGACGTTAGGTCTTTCCTAAAAATTTCGCTGTTCACATTAGGAAGGCACAAGCCACCTAAACATTCACCTTGCCAGGTTGTAATGATAACCTCCAACCAATTACACACCAAAAGCATCGCGCACCAACCATAGCATTTCACAGGCTTTCTCGTTACATCATTCATCTATCTTAGCAACACAGCTTGCAGCACTAGCTCATCACTTCTTAATCGTCCGGTTTCCCCACATTCTCCCAGGTCCTGGGTGAAGCCGAGACTTCGTACAACTTCGGAACTACTAGTCACTCAACACAAGCAGCGGTTACAGCTCTCGATATGTCATTTCCAAATTCACCAGACACTGATCAATACAAGAAAGCGTCGCTTCTAGCTCTCGCGGACGAGCTCCTGCTCATGATTTTGGATGGGCTTCCACTCAAGGCTCTGAAGGCATTCGCCCTGACTTGCGATGCCATGAACAAGGTCGCCAGTAGTTTACTCTACGAAACCGTAAAACTCCGTCTCTATAGTCCGGATCTTACAAAGCTCAACAAATTCGTTCGACTAGTATGCACGCTATCTTTAAGCAAGCGCGACCTTGGCCCCAACGTCAAGTATATGAAACTTAACTTCCACTCTGCCAGAAACACGGATATTCTTGCAGGCCAGCGCGTGCCGGAGGAGGATCTTAAGCAGATTTTGTCAAAAGAGTTTGCCGATGGCCTCGAAGGACTTGTCCTTGATGTACCCGACTTTGTTGAAAAGCTTAGTCGTGGTCTTCCACTGGCATATTACAGGCTTCTACTACTCTCCTGTTCCAACATACGCGGCATTTCAATCAAAACAAATCACCCGATCGACGACATCTGGTACTTCAACTTGAGCCTATCACAGAACCAAGAACGGTATAAACACATAGAGCAGCTAAATTGGTATTTCGATGGGGACTTCGATGAACGTGCGAACGCAAATGATCGCATGTTGTCAAGGTTAGGGCAACTGCAATCTCTAAGCACGCTAAAAATTGTATTGAATGTCCAGTGGGAGTCCTTTGGTTCCTCTCGATTCCCTTTAGGCCACCTTCGCCACCTGGACCTCATGGCATGCGAAGCACCTCTTAAATCACTGCAAAACCTACTCACGTCAACGCCAAAATTAATTTGTCTGAGGTTGGACCTAGTAGAAAACTTCATGTCGCCCAAAGTCGACAGTCCGGAGGGGTTGTGCCATATCTTTGCTCAAACCCCCAAACACGTCACGCCCACTGATCCAATATATGCAGAGAAGGCATGGCAGGCAAGCCTTCAATCCCTTGCCATACAAGTAAGGCCCCGGCGCTCTACCTCTAGAAAACAACCCCACCCTCCAAATTGGCCAGGCTTCGGTAGAGGCATTGGCTCTCTTAAGCACTTTTCAAGTCTCACGTATTTGGAGGCCACGTCGGGGTTACTATATGGGAACGACCTACAGGCACCACCCATACTCAACAGGGCCTTCCCAGATAGTTTGAAATGTCTTTGGTTGGACCGGTGCGAATTCCTGATAGAGATGAGATCCGCTGGCGATCCCTTGCAATATTGTGATATTGCCATTACTATGAAACACTACGCGGAACGCCAGACACGATTACCGAATCTCAAGAGACTCGGTCTGGACCCAGAGATATATTATCGCGTGGATATAAAAGAGTATCACAGGTACCATGGAATTCTGTCGTCTAGCCTCCAGCAGTGTGGAATGGAGCTTGTGGACCATATTCGTAATCAGTGGTGGGATAGACCGGACCTCTTTCAGACCTTCGAGAAAGGAAAGAACCTCCCTTTTTCGTTCAACTGGGCCCAACCACATTGAAGCAGGTCGAGGGCAAACAAGAGAAGTTATTTCACGGTTCCGCATGACAGCCAAACACTCGTTTGATAGAAATGACTAAGAGATCAGATACTCGCGTTACAAAATCGCTTTTGCTCTTCTTTTCTCACGGCGTGCGTGTCGTTGACGTGCAAAAGCTTCAGGACTTGAGACAAGAATTTCAAAGCAAAGCGGCAGGTGAACACTTTTCGGATAATTTGCCCATCCCTTCTAGATATTTGCCCACCCCTCAACTTGTTAGGCGATTTCCACGATACCTATAGAGTACTCTTTAGGTACTTATAATTAAACTATTATGCTATACCCAGTAGGCACTATATAAAAGTGAAAAGACATAAGGTATAATAGTATCTAAGAAGATACAACGGTAAAAACATACACGAGTCCTAAAGTATCTATGAGGGTATAAAAACAAAATATTCTGAAGGTATGAAAGTACTTATAAGGGATAAAGATAAACTATCTAGGAGTAGAAAGGATATCATATAGTTTTGTAGGTATGTTATCGCGTAGGGTGCACCAACACCAGCAACACCACATGCCACAAGACCATCAAACCCACACCAGCAAACAAGACCAAACAGTTCACGCCCTCAAGTCAAAGCTCAAACAGCCGCAAAGTCATATAAATACGCAATCATTCTCATCTCTCATTCTATGCCTTGTGTGTAAACCTATATAGTACATATAGCGCACATCATCACAACAACACAGTCTTTTCAGCAATTAGGCATCCAACCAACCCGCCTCTCCCATCTAACCAGTAACCTTGTAGATGCTCTCAGCCAGCCTCTTGACATTGCCCGAGGTGATACCGGCAACGGAAATACGGCCGTCCTTGGTAGCGTAGACCGAGTGCTCCTTGGCCAGCTTGTCCATTTGCTCAGGCTTGAGGCCCGTGTACGCAAACATGCCAATCTGGTTCGTGATGTGGCTCCAGTCGTGCTTGGAGCCCAGCTCCTCCAGGTGCTTCTTCAGCAGCGCGCGCATCTTGATGATGCGGTCCGCCATGCCCTTGACCTCGCCCAGCCACTGCTTGTTCAGCGCCGCGTCGTTCAGCAGCGTCGACGCGATGCGCGCGCCGTGCACCGGCGGGTTCGAGTAGAGCGGGCGGACGAGAATCTTGACTTGTGAGTCTACGCGCTTCTTCTCCTCGGCCGACTCGCACACAATGGAGAAGGACCCCACACGCTCGCCGTACAGACCCTGGTTCGCTGTTAGCGGGGTCCGGAATTTGGGTTCCGAGCTCTCCGGGTCATCGGCTATGGACTTACCATGTTCTTGGCGAAGGACTGGGCAAGGCACGGCTTGTGGCCCTCCTTGATGAAGTAGCGCAGGGCGTAGGCGTCCTTGTTGGTGTCGCCCGAGGCGAAGCCCTGGTACGCCATGTCGAAGAAGGGGTAGTGGTCGCCGGCCTTGACGGCGTCGGAGATGGCGTGCCACTGCTCCGGGGTAGGGTCAACACCGGTGGGGTTGTGCGCGCAAGCGTGCAGCAGGACGATGCTGTTCTTGGGCAGGTTCTTAATGTCCTCGACCATACCCTCAAAGTCGAGACCGATTGTGTCCTTGTTGTAGTACCTGTAGGTCTCGACCTTCAGGCCGGAGTCCTGGAAGACGGCCCTGTGGTTCGCCCACGAGGGCGTGGGGATGTAGATGGTCTTCGCGTGAGGGTAGTGGCGCTGGAGGAAGGCTCCGCCGATGCGGAGAGCACCGGTACCGGAGATGGACTGGGTGATGGCAATGCGGTCCTCCTTGATGGCAGCAGAGTCGGAGCCGTAGGCGAGGAGGGTAGCCGCCTTGGTGAAGGCAGGGACACCGGTGATGCCGGCGTACTCCTTGTCCAGGTTGGACTCGACGACCTTCTTCTCCGCCGCCCTCACGGAGGGGAGCACGTAGGGCTTGCCTTGGTCATCACGGTAGGCACCGACACCTGGGAAACCGTCAATACTAAGCTCTCAAGCTGTAGAGCACCCTGCCGCCGCTGATGGACAGTTGTATGCTTCAATGAGTGGCGAACGTCGTGTGGCAGCACAGATCTGGTTTCTGTGACACGATTCGGTTACGTGGGGGCGTGCGGCGGCGGATAAGAGTCATCCGCGGTGGCCCGACGGACGCAATTGAAGCCATTGATGAAGCATATTCTGAAAGAGACGTACCAAGGTTGATCTTCTCGGGGTGGCTGTCAGCCTTGAAGGCCTCAGTGATGCCGAGGATGGCGTCGGGAGGGCCCTGAGCGACCTTGGCCCATGCGGAGGCAGCTCTGACAGCAGTGATCTGGGGTCTGGCAACGTGCCTGACGGCAGTCCGTGAAGAGGCAAGCATGATGATGGAGATGAGGTGACAAGTGGAGTGCTGAGGGGAGAGAGAAGGAGGAGAGAAGAAAAATGGAAGGGAACTGGGAGGGTCGGGCGCAATCGGAGGCGGGAGGGTGTGATGATGTGGTCTGAGTGAGTCTTATTACCCCAGAAACAAGGGTTGCTGGGGCCATTTTTTGCGGGAGCTTGGGCCCCACGCTCTATCTCGGCCCGTCATTGGACCGCCTGAGGGAAAGATTCCATCGCCTACAACTTTTTTTTCTTCGACAACATCATGCAGCGCACCCTGCTAGCCCTCTCCAGGGCGGAGGTCCGCCGCCTCGAGGCCTCGTTTCCACTCTTCCTTTGCCCCGCCCTGCTCGAGTCCATCTCTCCCCGGAAGCCTTTACCTCGGCATTCCCGATCCTTGACTACCACTTCCGCCCGCCGCCAGCTCGCACCGGACGCCGCATCCGCTCCTCCGGAAGCGCCTCGTGCCCCGCCTCCTCAGCCGCAACACCTCGCGCGCGCCCTCCCGCCTTCCTGCCCGGGTTGCGGTGCGCCAACGCAGACCGTCGCGCCGGGAGAAGCTGGCTTCTACTCGGACACAAGAAACGCGGTGAAAGCCTTCTTGAATCCCCACAAGACCACCGGCGAGAAGAAAGAGGAAGACAAGGTGTTTGAAGCGGCATTAGGGAGCCTAGACGAAGAGGCCCGGGAGCAATTGGGTCTGCCAGCAGAAGCAGGTCTTGCGGTCAAGGATAATAGCGCTCCGGCACCAATCTGCGACCGCTGCCACAACCTCATACACCACCATGCTGGTGTTCCGATCAATCATCCCTCAATAACAGCCATCGAAGCCACCATTTCCGAGTCGCCGCACAAGTACAACCACATATACCATGTCGTCGACGCCGTCGACTTTCCCATGTCTCTGGTCCCGAACCTTACGCGCGCTTTGAGTCTGCAGCCTTTGCGCACGCAGAATCGCCGTTCAAAGAAATGGAATTATTCGAAGGGCAGGGTGGCTGAAGTCAGCTTCATTATCACGCGTTCCGATCTTCTGGCGCCGAAGAAGGAGCAGGTGGATAGTTTGATGCCATACCTACAAGAGGTGCTGCGAGATGCGCTGGGAAATACGCAAAGGAACGTGCGTCTAGGAAATGTGCGTTGCGTTAGCTCTAAGCGCGGCTGGTGGACCAAGGAAGTCAAGGAGGCGATTTGGGAGCGGGGCGGTGGTGGATGGCTTGTTGGGAAAGCTAACGTCGGGAAGAGCAATCTTTTCGAAGTTGTTTTCCCCAAGAACCGCAATCAGCCCGTGAACTTTGCTAAAGTTCGGGATGAGGCAAAGGAGAAAGCCCTACAATCGGGGATTTCTAAGACTAATCCAGCAGCAGCAGTTGCCGCACAGGAACAGCTTTCCGAGGAACGGTCTGAAAGCCAGGACCAGCTTGCGGGAGAACAGCCCGAAAATCAAGAGGGTCGACTTACGGAAGAACAGACTGAAAGCCGAGAGAACGCCACAGAGCAAGAGGAACCCCTCAGCGAGCCACAGGATGACTTGAGCCAGCCAGAGCAGTCGCCACTGGGGGAAGTCCGAGAACCAAAGGAATCTGCCGACGAGCCCCAAGACACTTTGACAGAAGCAGATAACCCTCAACTGGAAGAAGGCCCTTTGATAGATGAGGACTCACTACTTCCAGCTGCCCAGCCTGAAGTACCCTTTCCACAAATGCCAGTGATATCCTCTCTCCCCGGCACGACCGCCTCCCCAATCCGGATTCCCTTCGGCAGAGGGCGCGGCGAGCTGATCGACCTGCCCGGCCTCGCCCGCAGCACGCTCGACACGTATGTGAAGCCCGAGCACCGCCAAGACCTAATCATGGAGACGCGCATCGTGCCCGAGCGCCTGTCCGTCAAGCCAGGGCAATCCGTCCTCCTCGGCGGCGGCCTCATCCGCATTACACCCACCACCCGCGACGTCGTCTACTTGGTGCACGCATTCGTGCCCCCCGCTATGAAGCCGCACATCACGTCGACGGAAAAGGCCGTCGCGATCCAAGCCGGCACGCGCGACGCCGGCATCCCGCGCATCGCGCTCCCGGACGCCGCGAGGGACACCATGTCCGCCGGCCGCTACATGCTGCGCTGGGACGTGACACGCCGGCAGGCCGGGCCGCTGACTGCCCGCGACGCCATCGCCCTGCGCCCCGAGCAGCTGTCTTTCGTCGTCTGGTCTACGGATGTACTCATTGAAGGCGTCGGCTGGATCGAGATTGTAGCGCAGACGAGCAAGACCCGACCGATTGAGCGCGCGGCCATCGTCCCGCCTAACGCGCACGAGGCACGCGCCACCGCCGCTGCACTGTCTGCGTCTCCTCCTCCCCCGGCGGCTGATGATGGCGCAACCCAGCTCGACGCCCTCAGCGCGCTGCTCCCCGGCTCGGAGGTCTCGGACCCATCAGCCTCGCCGCCGACGCGCAGTGTGACCGGCGACGTGATCCCACACCCTGAGATCGAGATCTTCTCGCCTCGGGGACGGTACGTGGGCGTCCGGCGACCGATGAGCGCGTGGTTGCTGGGCGGGCCGAAGCCGGTGAAGGCGGGGGCAAGGAAGTCGAGGCCGAGGATCAGTATGGTGTCTGTGAAGCAGCGGCGGGGGAAGGGGACGCCGACGGGTGGGAGGGGTGGTCGAGGTGAGGTGTTGGAGGGGAAGAGGGGGGGGGGTTGTATATAGGTTGTATATAAGGGTGGTTTGGTAGATGTGGGGAGATTGATGCAAGTGGAAAGAGGAGGAGGTTCTATAGGGCTGTAATCGCTAGGTGCCTGAGCCACCTTGTTCTCTGCTCGCTCTTCTGTGCCATACCATACCGTCGAAGAACAATTGACATCATTCTTCTTCATATAAATAGACTCTTCAACCCCAACACAAACACAGAACAAGCAGCAACAAGCGCCGGCAGCAACCTCGCTCGCCGCCGCCGCCGCCGCCGTTGCCGCCTCCATTGCTGCTACTTCGGCTAATGCCGGTGATTGGGGCGGCTTATGCACCATAACAGCACAGCAGCAACAGTGACAGACCGCAGCGTCCCCACCGTTCCTATAGCGCGTCTGCTGTCGTCGTAAACGTGACGAAGTACGCCATCATCACAGACCGCTAGCAAGCAGCACACCGTCCCTCCGCCAATGACAGTCATACCCTTTACGAACGCGTACGCGCCCCATCAAGCCCAACTACCCTTCCCCCTCCTTCTCGCGCAATCGCTACGACCGCTTAAATACAAATCCTCCAGCACGCGTCCCATTGGACTGGTCGATGGTGGACTCTCGACTGTGCTTGGTAGCGGACGAGACGCTGGATCTGAGTCTGAGCCGCGGGGATGGGCGTGGTGTGGTGGGGTGGGGTGGGGTTCTGTCTCGTGGGGTGTTGTGATGCTGGTGGGTTGTGGGGTGGGTGCGAGGTGAGGGAAGCGAGGACGCTGGGGGGGTGTTGAGGAACTTCGGCTTAAGCTGGCTAGCTGGCTGGCTGGACGGATGGATGGATGGTGGAGGGGCAGTGAGTGAGTGAATGCTTGCTGGCTTAGTAACCCCCCGCGCGCCGGCTCCTAGACGTTCGACCTTGGAGCCTGGTTGCTGTTTAGGGATAGTCAGAAGCTTGGCTTTACTGGCTTACCTAACCCCCCACGCGCCCGCACCCAGACGTTCGACCTTAGAAGTCTACTGCCTCTTTTGGCCAGCTAGTGGCTAGGCTTACTAACCCCCCGCGCGCCTGCACCCAGACGTTCAACGTTAGAAGTCTGTTGCTGTTTTGGGATAGTCAGTAGCTTGGCTTTGCTGGCTTAGTAACCTCCCGCGCGCCCGCTCCCAGACGTTCGACCTTGAAGCAACCGGCTACCGCTTTAGGCCAAGCCTCACGTCATACACTGAGCAAGTACGATGCTCACGAAATCCCAACTCAGTTCCTTCAGGGCTCAAGTTTACATCTCCGGTCTATACAGTGCAGATTTGTCTTCTATACATTAGATGTCACTGTCCAAAAAGTCTCTGACACGGCGAGATTCTCTGACATCTGACACGTTCCTTGACTGGAGCGGTTTGTTCAACAGATGTTGATACGCTCATGCACTACAAGTACACCAACAACGGTGTTGTTGGCGGACAAGTAGATTGAGCAAGCCTGCGCACAAAGTGTGCGTGCCTATCTTTTGGTCTTACACTCAGCTGTCCAGATTGGCTCAGCACCATTACTACCAGCTGCCGGTGCTCAGCACACACCTCTAATGCCCATCCACATCAGCACGCCCAAGTCCACCTACACAACCGCAGCTGCCTTTCTTAATATGAAATCAGCCAAGTCAACATCGCCGCCTATATTGCGCAGAAAAACCGGCAACAATCCGGATTGTCGTTAGACCAGTCCATCCCAATCCACGCACTCACGTCGAGCATGAGTGCAAATGAAGAGTCTTCAGAGCGCACGAGACGCTTTTATATGACCGGCATATCATCAGCCATGATAGCTTTTGGTGCTGTTCAAGATACTCCTGGGCGGCATTCTGGCATGAACGGCAAGCTTAATCGTAGAAATATATGACTGTAAGAATGAGATGCTGTTACGCAGTTGCCTGCACCTCCCCTTTCTTGTATATGGAAATGATTGCTACCACACATAGAGACGTAGGCGACGCCTTGGGCTTTAATTTTATTCCTCGCTCCACCGCCACCACCACCACTATCACTGACAAAAAGTACCACTTACCAGCACCCACCCCTCCCTTCCACTCACATCACCACCCCGAGACGTTGAAGCGCACAACCTACGATAGAGCACTGGCTTTGTTGCGCGTCTGGCTGCCGGGTCTGCTTAGTAGTGCAGACTGCCCCCTCAAAAGGAAGACATGTTAGTGTGTCCAGCACAGTTCGCAGGTAAGCCACTTGTCACTTGCTTGTGCTTTGCTTGCACACTGGATGCGGTAACTTGCCAGAGGACGATGGGGAGGCGAGTATTTACACCCACTTGCACGTTGTCTTGAAGTCTGATAAGCCTCCACGCGCGGGCAGGCTTCAGTGACGCAGTTTAATCTCATTTAGTGTAGGTGGTGTTGTATTAGGCCTTTTATAGGATGCATGAGACGGCTTCTCAAAGGCAATGTTTGGTGTCTGATTGGCTCTGCTTGCTTATCATGAATTAACTGCATGTTGGAAGCGGATGCTAACTAGTTCGGTGGTCTGGAAATGCTGCTGTTGGTGCAGAAGCCAGAACGCGGCTTTGTGGTACCTGTCCTTTTCGTACTCGTTTTGTGGTGGTGTCTGCTAGGTATGTCGCTGCATCCTCTCCGTCGTTACCTACTTTGCTCTCATTACGCACACCTCGACGCCGATCCCACGCCCACCATCACCCCGCCCTCTCCACTCCACACTCAACACACTACTCCCCCCTCGGTTACCGTAACGGCCATTATGTTGTCTTTCACCGTTTGGTTCTGGCCATGCCTTTATGCGAGGGATTCATAGCTCTAAGCCGTTCGTTCTCGTCGCTGGTTTAATGTATCAAATAGTAGTCTGAGTAGCTCTGAGAGAAACGGAACAGAGAAAAGCCTGTTAATGTCATAATATTAAGCTCATTATCATTATGTCGTGCCACGCTTTTATCTACCTCTCACCCACACGCCGCGCAATGCACACCAAACAACCATCCTCTACTCCACATAAGCCGTAAAGAGCTGCAGGTCCTCCTGGGCTTCAAACTCGAGCTCGGTGCCCTGTCCCACAAAGAAAACGTACCCCTCCTTGACATCCTTGCTCTCGCCCTTCGCCTTCAGCTTGCCCACACCCTTTGTGCAAACCAGCACGCTCGGGCCTTTGACGGCCGTCAATCCCTCGCTCTGCCCCGCCTCCACATCCGTAGCGAGCATGTTGAACTCGCTCATGGGCGGGGCATACAGCTGCGTCTTGCCGCTCTTGCTGCCCTTATACGGCCTCGCGGGCAGCAGCGCCTCCTGCGCACCGTGCGGCGTGAACGTCAGCGACGCGCAGAACAGATCGATGGAGTTGCGTTCGGCGCGCGGACAGAAGCCCGAGTTCAGCACGTTGTTGCTGCGCGCCATGCACTCGATGATGTCGCCGGCGAGGTAGGCGTGGATGCCGTCAGCCGGAATGTAGATGGCCTCGCCGGGCTGCAGGACCAGGAAGTTCATGGTGATGAGCGCGACGAGGCTGCCCGGGTCCGTCTTGCCGTATTGGTCTTGCAGTCGTGGCAGCAGCTCCGGGATGTTGTCGTGCTTGCCGAAGGCGTCTTTGGGGAGCTTGGCTAGTGCTTGCTCTGTCTTCTTTACGTCGTCTTCGGATGCTTCGAGCATGTTCTTGACTACGGCTTTGAGGACTTGGTTGTCGAAGTTGGCTTTCTTGATCACTGGGAGGAAGTGCTGGAGCGGCTCCAGCTTCAGCAGCTCCTCGATGTCCGCGAGCGGCTTGAAGCCGCAGAATGCCTCAAACTTGGTGAGCGCGAGCGCGATTTCGGGCTTGTGGTTGGGGTCAGTGAAGTTGGAGGGGTCCTTCTTGTGCAGCTCCGAGGCGAGGTCCTTGTTCTGTGGACTGTTAGCTTTTGCTGCAAAGATGCTAAGATTACTAGAGTGCATACCGGGTGGAGCTGCAGCGGGAGGGCCTTCGCGATAGAGAGAACCTTGGGCAGGTAGGGCAGCTTGGTGTGGCCGAACTTTTGCAAGTTGGTCTTGCCGAGCAGCTCTTCGGGGTGCTTGTCCAACACGTCCTGCAGGTCTTCACCAGTTTCCAGGACGTACGAGGGCAGCTCCGGGTAGGTGCCCATCCACATTTCGGCGTAGGGCTTGCTCTCGTCGAGCTTGAAGTCGGTGCCCGGCGTCTTGGAGGCAAGACGGGCGGCGGCCGACTGGGAGCCTTGGCGGCCCCATGGGTACTCGTTGCAGCTGCACTTTAACTGGATGACGGAGGAAACCATGGTTGCGGAAATTGTGAATTATCTAGAGGAATTGTTGAATTGTTGAATTGAGGGTAAAATGCAGAAGGGAGAACATAGTGAAGCGGCGGGAAATATATGGCTTTTGCTCCAATGATTATGACGAACAAACGTCATAGTAGCAACATTGACCGATCGGAGTGGAAGAATTGGGAAGCGGGCGGGAGTGGCTTGACAGGCGGCGGCGGCGGCGTCTGACGTCGCGTCGGCCGGCGGTGCAGACGCCAAGGGAGATGATCCCAGCTAGGGAGATTATGGCTTTCAACACCCACCCTCTCTCGTATCCTCACTCACTACTGCCTCGTATACTGCATACCACAGTCTCTCTTTCCTCTTCATCCGTGTTGTCGCGCTCCAGGCCATGCCACCTACCTGACCACGCTACCCTCACTCTTGCCCTCCTTGCCTGAGCCAAAACCGTCCCGAGGCGCCCTCTTCCATCCCCGTCTTGCGCCCTCGATCCGCCTTTACACGCCACGATGCACTTTGCCTTTCCTCCGCGCAAGACGTCGCGGACTCCGCCATATGTCGCCGCAGCCAATTCGCGCAAATCCGGCGCGCTGCTGCCCCGGCGCAAGGCCAAGCAGCTCGCGCTGTTTGCGCTGATCGCTCTGGGCTTCTTCTACCTCGTGCGCTCCATGTTTGGTAGCAATGCCAATGGTTCGTCCAGCGTTGAATTAGAGGAACCTATACCCGCTGGGACACCGCCCGTGGTGCTGGTTACGACGTTCGTCGACGGCCTCTCCGAGCAGTTCAAATCTGGTGTCAAGCGGAATAGGGAAGCATATGCAGCCAAGCACGGTCAGTCTGCCCGGCCTGTCTCGTTTTTCGTGCATGTATTGATTTTGCAGGCTATGCGACATTTTATCCCAATAATTCCGACTACAACCTAGGGAGCCAGCCGGCGTCTTGGGGTAAAGTGCCCTCGATGCGCCATGCCATGACCGTCTTCCCGCACAGCACATTCTTCTTCTACCTCGACTACAACACCCTGATTTTGGAGCCTTCCATAAACGTCGAAACGCACATAACGGACAAGAATCGCTTGGAGGAGCTGATGATCGTGGGACTGCCGGTCGTGCCTCCGGACAGCGTGATCACGACCTTCAGCCACCTGTCCGGCGACAGCGTAAACCTGATATTGACGCAGGACGCCGAGGGGCTGTGCCAGAACAGCTTCATCGTGCGGCGCGGCGAGTGGGCCAAATACTTCTTGGACGCGTGGTTTGACCCATTGTACCGCTCGTACAACTTCCAGAAGGCCGAGGGCCACGCGTTAGAACACGTTGTGCAGTAAGTCTCCAACCATTACTTCATCGAGTGTCTGTTTAACCTGGAATTACAGATGGCATGGCACGGTCCTCAGCAAGCTCGCCCTTATTCCCCAGCGCATCATGAACTCGTACACGCAGGAAACCCACGGCAAGACAGACTCGTTGTACCAGGAGGGCGACTTTGTCGTGTCTTGGCCTAGCTGTATTCGCGACAGGAAAGATAAGTGTGAGGAGGATATGACGGCTTGGTTTGGCATTGCGGAGTCCAGGATGGAAGAGGCTTCGTGATGAGATATTGGTTTTGGTATAATTCTTACCTTGAGTGTGCGGCGTTCAGCGAGACATGTTTGGCGTGCATGGTGGCATCTTTCGGAATGATATCAATGTCCGGCGTTTGGGTCTTTTGTATATCGGTATGGACGAGTATAGGCATGTTGTATTGATACGGTATAGAGAAGCTGTAATGGTATTAATGCGCGTGTAACTCACCTTAAGACCAAAACATTTCCCCTTAGGTTCCTCTTCAGCCCAATCCCAACAAGTGAGGTGAAGCCCGCCCATCCTCACCACTCACACGTGCACAGTAACATGCCCCTCCGGGTCGGCCCCGCGCACACGACCGCATCTCCGCGCCCCAACCAACCACCACCCGCCCAAGCACTACAAGTAAACAGCAACCAGCGCGCATCACAACACACAACCACCACAACCACTCCCAAAACAGAAAAAAGTAACCACACATCGAAAAAGACCAATTGCATACAAAAGCAAAGAAAGAGCAAGGACACGCCCACTACGCTTAAGTACGGGCAACAGCCAGCCCAACCATGCTCCCGCCCATCGACCCCAGCACCCTCGACCGCAATCCGCGCTTCAAAGCGCTGTACGAATCGCTCGCGGCCGAGAAGCTGAATCAGGATGCTTCGACACGGGATCCTGACCTTGAGAAGACGGATGCTGCGAGGAGAGAGGTGCGTTGTGCCGTCCCAGTCCTGTCAGCTGCTTCTGTCTCTCGCCTGAGCGCTGCAGCCCTGCTCAAAGACTTGTTTGAGAGGAGGTATTGGGCGGGCTTGTGAAGTGCGCTTTTATGCTGACTGGTACGCACGACAGGCTATAGCGGCGCGCAGGACCGCGCGCGCGAAGACGCAGATCCTGCTTGCGGCGCTGGAGGCGGCGAGGAAGCACGCGGTGGAGCTGCCGGATGAGGTGGGTTTACTTTTCCGCTTCTCCGTTCTTCCATTCCTCTTCTGCTTTGGGGCTCTACTGACTGACTGGACTGTCTAGCTGCACGAGGTGCTAGGCGTGGTTTCCGCGCTCGCGAACGAGCGCGTCAAGGACCCCGTTGAGCGCGAGCTTTTGGGCGAGGATGTTGCGTATTTCGTTGTACGTGCACCTTGGAACAGCGCAGAGAATGGAATGCTTTCACTGCAAGCGGAAGGGAGAGAATGAGGGGCTAATGTCTCACAGCAGCACATCAGGCCCATCGCTGCCGCGCTCTCGGCCCAGCTTCTTGCGCTCGGGACGCTGCTGCTGCAAGTCGCGTTGCCCGGTACGCCTCCTCCCCACAACCAACCACCTCCCGCCCTACCAACCTCCATAAACTAAACCAACTAACTGACCAATCCCACACACAGACACTTCCCCTTCAGACGAATACATCGCAACTCTCCCCACGCACGCCCAGACCCAACAATCCGCCATCAGAAGCACGACCCATGCACTCGCGACCCAGCGCACCCACCTCGCGGCCCTCAGCGCCGCAGCTCTAAGCGCGCAGGCCCACGCCGCAGAAGCTGCCATCCGCGTGCTCGAGCAGACAGCGCACGGGTCCGTCGCGCGCGGCCTGCGGGCTAAAGCCGAGTGTCTTGCTACTGTGGCCAGGGGCGTTGAGCTGAAGATCGGGTAAGTCTCTCATCCCCGCCCTGCCCTACTACCCCATCCCACTACCCTCTTCCATTCCCCTTCCCCACCTCCATCCCCATCCCTCATAATACCAACGCGAGCGCGAGACAAGACGGCACGGAATATTAATATGTATACTTTTAAACACAGCATCCTAACCGCCTCGTCCGCGCCCTCGCCCCCCGACCCCTCCCAACACGACCTGCACTCCGCGCTCCGCGCCTACGGCGAGCACGTCGCGGGCGCGACGGCTGAGCTGCTACACCAGCGCGACGTGGCGATGGAGCGGCTGCGGGCGTTTGAGGAGGCTGGAGGCGCCGTAAGTGCCGTAGGTGCTGGTGGTGCTGTTGGTGGTGGAGGCGCTGTAGGTGGTGTTGGTGGTGGTTATGGTGGGAGTGGGAATGGTGGGGGTGCGGGCCTCATGCGCGATATCGCGGCGCGCTATGCGGAGATTGAGGAGGAGATTGCGCGCGTGAGGGGGGAGTTGGGGCGGCTGGATGAGGAGGGGAGATAGTGGTGGATGGGGAACTGGTGTAGAGAGAGAGAGAGAGAGAGAGAGAGAGAGGGAAAGCTATACAAGCACATCCTACATCCATCATCCATCCATAAATTTATAATACACATCCCCTCTCCCATACAACACTCTAACCACCCCATCTCAATCACTCCCACCCCCGCATCGCAACAACACGATACGCCTCGCCCAATCGCGCGTCCTCAACCTTCTTCGCCCCCATCTCGCACACCGCGAACCCCGGCACCGGCACCTCAGCCGCCCACACCGTGTCTGCGTAGCGCGGCAGCAAGGCCGTGGCGTCTAGACGGAGGGGGCCTTTATTTTGCTTGCGCCGGGCGCGGGGCGAGGGGTCCGGGGCGCGGGTTGCAGGGGTTGTCGTGACGGGGGAAGGAGCGGTAGGCGCGTCGGCGGGCGCATCCGCATCTTCTTCTGCTTCTGCCTTGGCCTTGGACTCTTCACGCGGCTGGCTCGGCTGTGTTGCTTTCTCCTCGTCGCCTTCTTTTTTGACATGGCTTTTCCCGCCCCGCCCGCCCCGCGCATACAGCGTGTTCACGAGCGTGGCATGCAGTTTGAGCGGGCGGCCCTCGTCGAGCAGGAACCCGCGCTGCACGAACAGCGCGCGCACGGCTTCGCACAGCGGGCGGAGCCGGGCGGACGCGTCGTCAGGCACGGCGTAGAGAACGGAGGTTTTGCGGGGTGGGTGCATGGAGTGCAGGGAGGTGAGGGAGAGGGTGGGAGGTTGGGGTTGGGGAGGTAGGGTGCTTGTTGCTGCGTCTGTTGCTGCATCTGGTGGTGGTGGTGGTGGTGGTGATGAGGAGGATGAGGAGGGAGCGGGTGCTGTGGTTGTGAGGAGAGAGGGCAGGTCTAGCTCCTGCAGCAGCGTGACGGCTTCTTGTAGCCGTTCTGGTGTACCCAGGCTCATGACGCCGAGGGTTAGGTGTAGCGTGCCGAGGGGGCGGAGCGCTTGCTCTGGCATCGTCACCGTGGCTTCTGCTTCTCCTTCTCCTCTCTCATTTCCCCCTGCTGCTGCTGCTCCTTCCGCTCCAGCATTTCGCGCTCCCCCGGCTCCCCCCTCAACGACATCCTCCCTAAATCTTGCCAGCGACGCCGTGAGCTGCGGGATCGAGGCCTCGGTCACGAGCGGCACGCACAGGAAGTGCGTGAGGGGCGGCTTCTTTTCTTTTTTCTTCGTCTGCTGCTGCTGGCCCTTCTCTTGCTCGAGCACCTCTTTGGCGACGGCAGATGGTGACGCTTCGTCTCCTAGAGCGGGCGCTGTGGTGGATGTTGACGCAGCGGCAGCACCAGCGGTGGGGTTCCCGCCTTTATACCCGCCCTTTTTGACGCGGCTGGATTTGCGCGCCATGAGCGGCGCACGCGGAGACGGAGAGAGAGATAGAGAGTTAACGCGCGAGGTCGACGAGGTGAAGGACGCGGTTTCTCTGGTGTTTGGGACTGCGTGTGTGTGTGCGACTGCGGAAACGGTGCTGGCGGATGCTCTTGCTCTTGCTCCTGCTTCTACACGTGCGCGCAGGCAGCAGTAGTGGCGCAGCGGCCTCGCGGCCTGCAGGCGTTGCGGGACGGACAGCGTGACGTTGGTTGTGTGTGCGAGCGGGGCAACCACTATCAATTCGATCCGTCTTAGATGACGGCGTGGATAGACAGTTGCGATGTCGTCGATGTCGTGGAGGCAGAAGACGGGTAGCTTTAGGTAGCTCCCCATCATCATCCCGCATCATCATCATCATCGCCGCCATCATAAAGGCAGGCAGCACCGCGAGGCCGCACACACCAAACCAAAACCCTCCTCCTCCACCACCACCACAATCACAACCACACAGCCCATACGATCTCCCCTCCCGGTCCCGAACCCACGGCCACCAACCCACCGGCCCGACCCCATCAACATCCTCAGCCCACCTACAGCGCACACCTGAGACACCGGCCCTTGGGCCTGCCAGCCCATCAGGCAGACAGCCAAACCCAACTAAAAACAACTAAAAAAAAAAAAAAGAGAGAGAAACCGGTGCCCGTTCCCTCACCCACTTGCAAGCAAGCACCACCCCTCACGCACGCAGAAGGATGCCCATCCCAGCCCGTTAGTTAGCTCCTCGTGTCCTCGTATCAAACGCCCTACGGCTTACCTACCCTACCCTACCGTGCCTACCTTACCCAACTGCCAACACCCAAAATCAAGGCCAAGGGTCACGTCACGCCCCGTTGGAGCAGGTCGGGTCGCTCGCTTCCATGCATGCCTGCACTCCACTCCATCCATTCATTCCATCGCTCATTCGTTCGTTCCTCCATTCGTTCGTCCATCCCACTTCCAATCCTTCCTTCCATCGATCCATCGAGCCCCAGTGCCTAGTAGCCCTACTACGTCACCCGCAGCCCACGCACGCACGCACGCAGCCTCGGCACTTTCGGGAGCTAGCAACAGCACTGCACCCTGCCCTTCCAATCCAATTCCCGCACCAGTCACAGGACGAGTCTAGAAAGAAACTTCCAGCCCAGCACGCTTACCCAATCCAAACTAACAAACAAACAAACAAACAGTAGCAGTAGTGGTAGGTGCCTAGGTAGACAGTAGCTATGTAGCTACATACCTAGCCAAGCACAGCAACAGCAGCAGCAGCAGCAAGGCGACGCCCAACCTCAGTCTGCCCCGCGCCCCGCAGCAGGCAGGCATGTACACGCGAGCGGCGCGGCACCTAGCAGCACATGCGCGCGCTTGCGCAGCGTCATTGGGCAGCCGCGGCGCGGCGCGGCGTGCATGCAGCATGTACGTACTCCCATGCCATGCGAGGTTAGTGCGGGCAGCAGAGGACGGCGGGGCAGCGTGGCACGCAGCAGAGCGACACGGCGAGCAGCATGGCAGCATGGCAGCACGGTAGTAGCAGCGCACGTGCCGGTTTGACGATTGCATTTCGCTGTTGCGGTTGTTTTTGCTTTTGCTTAGGTATGTAGGTAGGCAAGACGCTGGAGCAGGGCCACTGCGCTCATCTCGTCTCGTCTCGTCTTACCCCAGCTCAGCTCAGCTCACGCGAGAAAAAGAAGGAAGGGACAACGGTGCGGGACGGGCGGGACGGAACGGTACGGTACGGGTAGGCGAAGGCATGATGGAATGATGGCATAGGCAGCACAGCATGGCATGGGCAGGAAGCGATGCAAGTACCTAGTACCAGCTAGTGTAGAGAGAGGTTTAGTGCGAGGTAGAGGAAGAGGAATAGGAAGAGGGCCAGGTAGCTGGGCCGCTCGTGCGCACGCACACACACACGTACGCACGTACATACGCGCGCCCGCGCTAGCTTTGCTCTGCTCTGGACTGGTCTGGTCTGTTTTTGGGACGGAAGAGGCGGAGGGCGGCAGGTTGGGCGGAGGGACGAGGGGTGCGGCTAGGTATGCGCGGGGTAGCTGCGTCGGGCGGCGCTGCTAGTTACTGCGGCTGCTGGTTGCATAATTCTGGTCAAGACGACGAAAGAGGAAAAAAGAGACGGCGAGAAAGAAGAAAAAAGGGGGGTGCCATGCAGAGGCTGGCGTCGGATAACGTAGAAGAGGGGAGATCGAACGTTCGAAGCCCATTTTTTTGCCTTTTTTTGCTTTTTTCTGTCCTCTGCAGCGCATCTTTTGTATGCCGTTTTGTGTTGTGTTGTGTGTATGGTCGGGAGAACCCATCGTCATAATTCAGAGACGTCTGTCTGCAGCCAGCCGCATTCCGGCAGCCCCCCCCCCCCACCCTCTTTTCCCTGTCCCGGTCGTCATCGGTGGGTAATTTTTTTGCTTCTTGTCCCGCCGGGGCACGCGCCGCTTCGCTCGACGACTGCAAACCGAAAACCCAAAAAATTAAAAGGAAGAGAAAACCGGGGGAAAAAACGAAAAGAAAAAAAAGGTAGTGGAGAGAAGAAAAAAGAGTAACCCAGAAAAAAGAGCTCACGGCATGGTGCACTACTTCCGCAGTTGCTTGGTCTATCTGCTGTTGCTGCTGCTGTTGGTGTGCGCTCGAATCTAATGATCAGACGTCGTCGATGCGGTCTCGTCCCCCTCATCGTGGTAGAATTTCCGCAGCACCTTCTCCACGTCCTTGAACTCCTGCTTGGCCTGGGCGATGATCTTCTTCAGACGGTCCAGGCACACCTCGTCGTCGGGCTCTTCATGCGTGCCCGTCTCGTCCTTGTGCGCGCCAAAGTGTTGGATCTTCTCGCAGCTGTCCTTGACCTTGGTAAGGCCGAGCGTGGCCGACGAGCCCTTGAGGAAGTGGCCGAGTTGAGAGAGCTGACCGAGGTCCTTTTTCTCGCTGCACGACGAGAAGGAAAACCGGCGCGTTAGCGAGGGAAACAACGATGGTTATAGTGATGCAAAGCAAAGGGCAGTAGCAGTGACGAGACACGCGACTTTGCGCGCGCGCGCGCAAAGTCGCGACCGGAATGAAGGGGAGAAAGGGAGGGGGTGCAGGCGACAACAACAGCAGCAGCAGCAGTTGGGCTTACAGGTTCGTGTCCATCTTGTCAAAGGTGCTCTCGGCCTGCTGGAAGAAGTCGTAGACGATGCTCTTGCTGAACTCGCGCTCGTCCTCGTCGTCGTCCATTTCGAGGATCTGTTCAAAAGTTGCCGCATCGATGGAGTCGCCGAGCTCGGGGAGGCCGACGGAGCCCTCCTCGCTCTGCGATTTCATAGTGTGTTAGTCGCAACGGCGCGCGGGAGGAGAGAGAGGCGGAAAAAAGCTTCAGCGCACCCTGTCTTCGGCATGGTCGGTTGCCCTTGTTGGCATCTTCTTTGTTGTGTGTGTGTGTGTTGTTGAGTGGTCGCGACGACGGCGGCGGCGGCGGCGTGGCGTGGGGGGGGGGGGGGGGGGGGGGGGGGGGGGGGGGGGGGGAGAGGAGATGGGTTGGATGAGAACGGAATAGGACGACGGCGATAGTTGACTTGGAGGAGGTGTTTTTCGACCCCACAGAGGCTGGGGGGTTTGGTTGTGCTGGCGTGGGAGTAGGGTGTGGCTGCGTTTGAACGGGCAGGCAGGGCGTGCAATATGACCGCGCGACGGGCCGAGAAAGCGACGAGAGGTGAGGTGTGTTTGGGAAATTTTGGAGGGGAAGAGACGAGGGAGTGGGGTTTGGCGTGTGCTGGGCGAGCGACCGACGGGGCCGGGATGACACTGACTCGGGTGCGCCCAAAGGGGTCATGGAAAGCTGTTGCCCATCCATCAGGGCCAGCTTGGGGCGAGCCTGTTGGCTGCCCCGTGCCCCCCAGCAGGCAGAAACGCAAAGTCTAGAACCCCGACTGAGTGTACTGATATACAGCTTTGCTCGGCTCCGGTCTCGCGCAGGCGTCGCCGCGTGTCGTCACTCACTGCCCATGACGTAGCCGCTCCGGGTCCCGGTCGCGTGATGCAATTTGGCTCTCTTTTCCCACGCGCCGGTTCGGCTTCACCCGGTAGGTTAGGGTGTGATGAACCAGCGTGCTGCAACTACTCCGTACCTACAATCCCTCCCTCCATCCTCCTATTATCTTCCCGGCGCCTCATTTTCCGACTGCTCGTCACTCTTCATCTCGATTCCGGGACGTCATCTATGCACGTCTCTTGGCTCGTTTCACCCGATCGGCACTTCCTAATCCGCTTTCCACACCTGCGCCCAAGCTCCCCTTCTCCACGTCCTCGTCTATCCCTTCTACTTCCTCCCCTGCCCTCAATGCTTTTCCCTTCATCTCGTTGCTGCCGAACTGTCTCATGCGCCGTGTGTCTTATTACCTAGCCGCCTACTTTCGTGTGCACGTTCAGCCTGGTGGATACGGGACGGGTACTCGTCGTACCCTGAGCCTAGGCCCAATAGCTGCTCGTCAGTTAACCCGACGACCCGACCCGACCTGTGCCGGCCCCGAGCATCAGTATTCACCATCGTCACGCAACGCTACCAGGGTCCAGCTGGGAGGAGAGGAATCAAAGCGGGCATTGCAGGGGCCTGACCGTGGGCCCGCGCCCGTCCATGTGGGCTGCATGCCGGTACATAACTGATTCAATCGCAAATCCATCCTCTCGACGCACGCTGCCCATTGCAAAATCCTCGTGCCGTCGCAAACGAAAGGTGCCTTATCAATCGTCGTCGTATACCACGTACATGGGAATCCAAGACATCATAAAAGGAAATGACAACTTTCAGCATCCGTTAGGCGCACTGCGCGTTCCACCAGAATCCTCCCGCAAGCGAAGCCCTCATTATCGAGCGCCGTCGTACATGGTGGTATACCTGAATCGCAAAACGGGAAAATCCTAATAGACGTAACCGCAACCGCTTCCGCGAAAGCCGTAGTCTGCCGGCCGCCGAATCGGGATCCTGGGGCGCCCGCCGCATTCGAAATTTGCTGTTTTGAGATTGGCGCACCGCCGTGATGTTGACGATGATGGTGTCAGCGCCGACCGAGGCGAAGGACGTTTCCTCCGCTGGCGCGTAGCGGCTTAGCTGATGGTGCCGCTGGTGCGTGGCCATGTTCCTGTCGGCCGTCACCGAATATGCGCCGCCTTCCATGGCTGCGAGACGTTCTCCGGAGAATACATGATTTCCTTCGGGGGGTATGGGAAGTTCGCATCTTCCGGAGAGCAAGGTAAGCCCTCCTCTCCTTGACGTCAGTGACATCCACGATCTCAACAGTGGCATCACTTCTCGCGTCGTCCTCATCGTCGCCCTCATCATCGTCCTCGTCAGGATAGATGACCTGGTCAAAATCGAGAGTCAACCAGTCGTCAATATCGACGACCTCATTAACAACCAAGGATTCCTGCACAAAACTGCACACAGCCTCCGAGTGTTTACTCTCCACATCCGCCGTAGAAGAGGAAGAGGATATAGAGTCAGCAAGAGTGAGTCGCGCAAACGCATCGGCGAGAAGTTCAAGCTCGCGCGGAGATATCGAGGTGGGTTCCTCGGCGGTCGGGTGTCGGAGATCGTTCTGCGGAGGTGTGGTCTCTGCTTCTTTGGAGAAGAGGAGGCGTGGAGGGATGGGCTCCGTTGATGTTGTTGGGGTCGCTGTCGTGGCTGCGTCGTTGTTGGCCTGGAGGCCGTAGTGGAGAGAGTTTGTCTCCGTGGTGGTGGGTTGGTGCATCATGTTGTCTTGATGCGGGATGGAGGATGGAGGTGTCGTTTTGGCTACGTGGAGGTGGGTTTTGGATGTAACGCTCCTTGTTACGTGGAGGCGGAAGGCTTCTCGAGAGTGTGAGTGTGAGTGTGAGCGTGTGAGCGTGTGAGCGTGTGAGCGTGTGAGCGTGTGAGCGTGTGATTGTGTGAGTATGTGTTTGTGTGGGTGTAGGGATTCGGTTGCTATTCCGTGAGTGTTTGTTGGAGTGATGCGTCGAGGTAAGAGAGAGTGCGGCGAGAAACACGGTTTTATGTCTTACCCTGCCAGGCTGGATGGGTTCGTGGTTCACATCTCTGTCCGGGGTTGGCGACATTCACTGCCGTACCGTAGTTGGGGCTGGATTGTCCCAAGCGGTTCACTACTGAGGAGCAGGGACGACGAGCAACGTTTCCGCACGCCATGAAGATAGCTGGGAACTAGGAGGGTTTGTTCCGCTTGTAGTGAGTACACGGGAGGATCTGGTTTGGGGTTCTTTTAGCAACTGCTGGTCGTGTTGTAAGTATTTTGATATAGTTGTTGTTCTAGATTTGGTTTGCATGTTGAGGTGCTGTTTGGGTTTGCGTCTGATAACAGATATAGCTTGAAGCTGCTAGAGACTTGGAGAAAAATAGAAGAAAAGATATCTTACTTAGCTTGCAATTTGAGCAGAAAGAAGCCATAGCAGAGAAACACCCACATCAAAGCAGTGGCAACTGGCAAGCCTCACGGCACCGTCTACACCCATCGCTACACCCCAAAGTCCCAGACGATTCAACTTGCAGAGCATACAGCATCACGCAGGCACACAAAAACCATCAGCAGAGACAGAACATTACATACCCAAAGCCACGTCTCGATTAGTCTTTCTATCCTCGCTTCTCTCACGCCTCTATCCCACCAAAGTTACACGTCGTCGGCACGACATCTGGCATACGTATACGACGCGCAACGGTTTCGGGGTAGCGCTGTGCCGTTGTGGTTTACCTTGGATCAGGACCGGGCCCCGTGGGGAAGCTGGCGTGGTGACGTAACGGGACCAGCTATGTCCTTGGTTGGGGACCCTGGCTGGTTATGGACCACGACAGAACAATAATAGCAAAACGGTGAAGGGTTGGCACGCAAAGCCCAAGCCTAGCATATAAAAAGACGCAGGCAATAGCAGTAACGACACACGCCAAGAACACGCTTGGAAAGTGCAGACAGACTCAACTTGACGACTGAGCAAAAGGCTGTGGGACCTGTCTGGAATTATTTGGACGGCCTTGTTCATTTTCAGTCCAATTCGATCACAAACGCCGACATGAACAACGCTCCGCCGCCCCCGGTCGGCAACAACATGAACACGGTCCTAGCGGCCAACAACACTAACAATCAGGTCCTCGATGGTGTCGATGCGGGTAGAGGTGAAATCGTCGTGCCACAGAACCACAATCAACATTTGCAACAGCAATCTATGTATGGTAGATGTCAAAAAAGGAATTGTGTTGATTTGTATCAAGTCATTCTGATGATGATGGATGACGGTTATGCGCGGTGATGCTGTGAATCGCACCCTGTACTTGTAGTCTGCTCTTTTGTATTTGCTTTGCTGAGAGTCTGGCTTGGGTCAAAGATATAGCCTAAGCACCTTGATGGCGCCATGTGGTAAACCGAAATGCTGTGTTGGGAGGGCTTTCTATTGCGTGCAGCAGAATCCCCTTTCTAAGCAAGAGCTTTCATTGTAGTAGAAGCTTGTAGCAGAGACTTGTTTTGTAGGAGAAGGGTCTTTGGGGAAGGGGATGGACGGAGTTTTTAAGGAAATTGTGTAACGAAACTTTAGCTTGCGATAATAGAATATATAGGGTAGAAGGCGAACCACTGCGGTCCAATTCAAGTGGATGTCCATGTGTGCGGCGACGATGTCGGGATGCGCATCAACTGGACTTTCAAAGATAAAGGACAATTGAAAGTAGATATTGGCGAGAAACTTCCTAGTAGGAATGAACTCGTACATTCCGTCAAGTTATAAAATTGCTTTGTAATTCTTCCTATTGCTAATAGAAGATGACTTTCGATCATGATGTTGGAGGCACTTACAAGACTTTGAGCCTCCCTTTGACCTCTAGCAGCATTACAAACATACCAGGAATTGGAGGCAGTGAGGAAGAGGTTGTCCGATGGTCGGGAGAACAGCTTCTCCGATGCTGACGAGAGCAGCTCGATAGAGTTAATCGTGGCCGATCTGTACAAGCTCAAAAGGCTTGGAGACGGACACGAGTAAATTCGTCAAGCCTCGGCAATTGGCGGATGATCCCTGTCACGTTCTGACCATTGAAGTGCTCCAACGCCACCGACCTCGGACATAAAACACTCGACCCTGCCTTGTACCTATTCCCGATTCCTTTCCGCCTCATCCAGTCTCTCAGCAATACCACTTTCTATCCCCGTTTCTCAACATGCGCGCCTTCTTCCGCCCTCAAGTTCTTTCTCGCCGGCTAGCAACCAGCATGCGCCAGGCCTCCAGCTTCCGGACCACGCCGTCGCCGCACCGCCTCCCCAAAGAAGAGCAAGAGATCTTCGAGCAGCTGCAGCAGCAGTCGGCCGGCGCCTTCAGCGCGCCACGCACACCGCCCCAAGTCAACCAGTCGCCGGACTCGGCCTCGCCCGCCACTCCTTCCTCTCGTCCGCAGATCAAACAGTCCCCCGACTCGGTCGCCGACGCTCAGGTCAAGATCGAGGCGGACGGTGACGGCGAGGAGCTCCATCCTCATGTCTGGCGCGGCGCGAAGCCGGAGTTTGAGGGCGATACCAACCCCAAGACGGGCGAGGTCGGCGGGCCCAAGAACGAGCCGCTGAGGTGGGGCGCCGCGAGCGACTGGAGCTTCAACGGGCGCGTCACGGATTTCTAGACAACACGCTTGATCGCGGATGGTCTAGGTTTTTGGATCGCGACACACGGGAGACGTTCTTGGTTGGAAGACAGACAACGATAGCCCTGGAGCGGGAAGATGCCGTTTGACGACGGACCCTGGCTTCAGGGCCACGACGGCAGCTGTCGCATCAGCTCACCGGCGACGTACAGTTACGACCGTGGCGCATATTGTCGGACGGGCGCAGACGCGCAAGTGCTCAGAGCCGTCTAGGACCCGAAATGGGTGGTGGCAGCTTTGTAAAACCGCTCACTGTGGGCGCACGGCATGATGCGGACAGGAAGCCGAGCCAGCCGTGGAAGCGAGTCGAGGAGAGCAGGAGGGGGATGGGATGAGGTGCCGGGCTTTAGATTGTCCTATCTCCATAGCAAGACGCAATTTACAGTCACACGGCCAACGGTATCGTGTTTCATTGATATGGCGCAATCCTTGCCAACCGCCAGATCCTGGGGCCCCGCGCCAACTCCAGAGAGGGACCCTGCTTGCGCAACCCGCGCCCTGCAGTCTCCTTCTGTTACACGTATGGCCTCCTTAAACCATGTTGTCCTCTGCCTTTTAACTTCCTAATCGTCCTCCCTCCACTTTACTTTCTTTCTCTGAACAACCACCAGCCATGGCCTACACCAAGCGCCAGATTGTCACGACGCTCAGCGTCCTAGTAAGCTCACTGTGTCCTTGCGCGACACCAAAACTAACCCTGGTCTCTTAGTACTTGCTTGCTCTCACAGCTGTCGCCTGGTGAGATTACCCTGCCTCAAGCCACCACGATACAGCATAGACAGACAGCTCACCTTCATTCCCAGCTATGCCCATAACAGCGTCCAGCGGCACAGCCTGCCCATCTCCTCCGCCCTCAGCGCTCTCACCATCGCGCTCCCTGCCCTTACCGGCCTCATCACCGAGCGCCTCACGCAGCGAGCCTCCAGCCCCAGCGGCAGCGACGCGCTCCCCGTGCTGCGGCACACACGGGCACGCACTCACGGCTCACCGAACATGACGACGCTAACGCTGCTCGCGCTCACGGCATTCACGACCGCACTCGCCACGCTCGCAGGCACGCACCTAGGCCCCGAAAACGACCTCACGTGTGCCCTTAACACCCGCTGGCAGGCCCTTTACCGCGCCAACCAGGGCCGCGTCATTCGCCGTATCCAGGACGACTTCACCTGCTGCGGCTTGCACTCCGTGTACGACATGGCGTGGCCGTTCCCGACGCACGACGGGCACGGCCACACGTCGCGCAGCCGGTGCGCGCAGAGCTTCGAGCGCGACAGGGCGTGCTTCGGGGCGTGGCGCGGGCAGGAGCGCCACACGGCCGGCGCTATGCTGGCTGTGACTGTGCTGGTTTACTTGTGGGAGGTGAGTTCGCTGTGTTTACTACCTTACTTACCCACCAGTCTGGCTACATACACACACACGCACGCACGCACTGACACTACTTCCCCCGATTCTAGCTCGCCATCATCTTCGCGCCATCCGCGCGCCGCCCCTCCTGGCTCGCGAGCGTGTTCGGCTCAGGCAAGCGCCGCAGCAACGCGGCCGACGACGGCGACGAAGCTGCCTCTGCGCGCCGCGCCATCGACTACGATTACCGCGGCGTGGAGGCCGGGACCGCGTACTCTGACAACCCGCGCGCGGTCACCGAGGTGCTGGATGCGGCGGGCGAGGAGGGCGAGCTCGACGCCCACCCTGTTGGCGATGTTCAACGCGCGGTTGAGGACCGCTTGGAGGGCGGCCATAGCCGGCATACGCTTGTGCCGTCTGGGCTGGGGGGACGGGATGAGGGCGTTTGGATGAGGGGCGAGTAGTGCGGTTGGAGAGAATGGATGATGGTGCTGTGGGGGATGGTGCTGTGAGTGTGGGGTTGGGTGCGGGTATGGAGTAATGAGGGCGAAGTAATGACGGAGAGCTGAAGCGAGGGTGCATAAAGGGATGGAACTTTAGCGGACCAGCAGACGCGACCACAGACCGAGTGCACAAAGGACAGGCAGGCATCACAACGCTGCGTCCTGGCTCTACGCCAGCAGCAGCATTTCCTAGCCTCCATGCTAGTTAGTAGTTAGTCAGCATCTGCTCCAGCACGAGTTATGTAGTAATCCACGACAAGCAGGCAGAGCCAATCACACACCACCCACCCATTGCCATTGCCATTGCCATGGGGAAGCCGTGCCAGCCTTCCCGGCATAAACTACGATATAGACGGCATCACGCGGCGTGAGGTAACTTGCGTACTTAAACCCAGCAGCACACGAATCTCATCAGACCATCAACAGCGTCATGACTTCGTGTAGCGCGTACGTATAAAACAAACACCCACCCACCGCCTCTCCCTCCCCATCTGGGGTAGCGCTGCAAGTCTGCAGTCACTGCGTGACCTAACACATGTCTGTCTGGCAAGCTTACGACCTTGAAGGGGGCAGACTTGCAGTACCAATATAGTAGCAAGGCTAGGACGAGTAAACTGAGCAGGGGTGCGGTGGAGCTTGTGTGTTTCGACATCTCAGAACAGCGATGCTTGTGGGTGGGGGAGGGCGGTGCTGGTGAGCAGTACGCTGCAGTGATGATGGTGGTGAAGAGGCTAAACGGCCGCCAGCGCAGCGCATGCAGTTGGTACTGCCAGTACTGCACTTGGTGCAGGCGGTTGTGTTGCAGCATTTATCTCAAAGCGACCATGACGGCACGGCACGGCACTGTTTTCTTTGAATTTGCGGATTTCGCTATCCTGGGCTTGGATATGCTGGGATAGCTGACAGTGAACTTCAGTGATTAATTAGGGAGGCTTATCCAATCAATTGAGACAACGGGAAAGCTGTCTTGCATACGGTGTGCGGTATACTAGTTAGCCACTATGCGCTTCCTTAGGGCCGGAACTGGGGTTATGGAAAAGAGTCCACAACTCAGAAGCAAGAGCTTCGTGTTTAAAGCTCTGCTTAGACGCCTATCGTATACTCGGCCACAAACATACATTCGCTTTACTGCCTTTACGACAAGAAAGATGAGTTCACTGGTGCGTGTGTTCTGATGTAGCCAGTAACTATGCTGCTTGCGGAAGAGTGACGCAGCTTGTATACCAAACAACGGCAGCCATACTGAGGGAAGAAAAGTTAGCGATCATCCTTTCTATGAAATGGTGAAGAGTATCAGTACCACTCACACATAACGATGTTTATCGCCGGCTGTATGAAGTATCGTTCTGGAATGACTTAATCCTGCTTCGGTGTAATAGCTGATACTGTTGATGTTGTCACCATAATGGATTGTCTTGAGGTGTTGAGGGTATGGCGGTGGTCGATTGGAAACTAACAGCTGTTATCCACACTAAACGAGATCTTATATATGTGGAAAGAAACAGAGCGTGTATTTACCGCTTCTGCTTTCACCCGATATCACCGTTGTTGTAACATAACTTTCTGCTCTTGTGAGATGGTGTTGATGGAGTATTGATGCTTGGTGATGCTTTTTCTGTAGGCGGTTTTTGAGGTGGCATGTTCAGCTTTCACGTATGACTGTAGTCAGTTTCCTTGTTGTACAGACAAATCAATTTTCTTTCTTTCTTTTTTTTTTTTTTTTTTTTCATCTTTTCTTTTTTACTCACTTACATACTTATTTCTTCACCCAATCCGAAATAAAAACAAATCCCAATCCCATAAACAGCAAACCAAAACCCCCAGTCAAATAAAATAAAAATACAAAGTAAACATAAAGCTAAACCCCACATCCTCCCTCCACACTCTCACTTAAGAGCGCTGCTCCTAATCAGTGGGTGGAGGAAACATCACATCCGTATCCCCCAGCTTCTCCGCCAAGCGCTTCGTCGCGCCCTTTGTGCGTTCCCAGCGCGACAGAGGCAGCGAGGGGAGGGGTGGGAGAGGACGAGACATGCTGCTAGCAGTGGTAGGGGTAGGAATGTACATGCTGGTAGTAGAGGTGGGGGTGTCGGTGCCAGCAATACTAGCACCAACATCACTGCTGAAACTAGCGCCAGAAACCAGCGAAACAGCAGACGAACCACCCGCCTTGACACCACCAAACCCCCTAGCTGGAGTCTCTGCAGCATCACGCTCAGCCACCGCGCAACGGGCCAGCCTCTCCTCCAGACCCGAAGAAGACGAACCCTCCGACCCAGACCCAGACCCAGACCCAGACCCAAGCGTACCGCTACCACTCGAAGCATCGCTCCGGACCACAGTTGCCCGCGGCTGTTTATGGGTGCGCTGAGGTGGAAACAGCAGCGACGACACCGACGGCGCCATGGACGGGTGGTACGCCTTGTACGGCGTGTAAGCGACGTAGGGGACGCAGGTCGCGCCTGTAACGGGGGCAGGGGCGGGCCCGATCATGGGAGGGGCCGGCGTGTTGTTGTTGTTGTTGTACATGTCCCGCGCGACGGCCGTCAGCGGTCGGTGCGTGAGCGGGCACTCGTCTGGTGAGAGGACGAGCCGCGGCGGTGGCGCTAGGCCTGGCGGCGGCACCGGCTTGCGCGGGATCTTGTGCGCGGTGTGGGGGGCTGGCGCTGGTGCCTGTGCTGGGGCTGAAGCCGGAGTTGGAGCCGGAGCTGGCGCGGGAGCAGCAACGGGAGTTGATTCAAGAGCAACGGTGGGTGCAGCTGTGGGAGTGGAACTGGAAGTGGGTGTAGGAGATTGCGGTACCCCGACCCGCAGCCCCGAAGGCAAGAACACCCTAGCATCTACGCTCTCACCGCGCGTCGCGGCCAGCGAGTCAAGCGCTTCGGCCGCAAGGCGCACGCTGACGGTGCTGTTGCGGTTAGTGCTGCTGCTGATGGGACGAGCAGCAGCGCTACCGCTTCCATATCCACTCACACTCACACCCGGCCTTAATGCTAGCACCTGAGCCGTGTACGGACAGGGCAGCTCGGCCAGCGGGGTGCGTGGTCCCGGCGGCGGCGGTGGTGGTATCCAAAGCACCGCTTGCTGCTCCACCTGCTCGTGGCACCAATTCCTCTGCGTAGGAATACGACGAGTAGGGTCGGGGCGACGGTAGCGGCGAAGTTGAGACGGGGAGGAGCGGATGACGGGCATGGTCGGGTAGTGGCTTTTCGATGGGTCCGAGTTTGTTGTATTAACCAGTATATTTCCACAACTCTTTTATTATAATCCAAATATCCAGACGGATGGGTCTCCAGGTACAGTATATGGTTCCTCCAGGGAATGGCGAACAGAATTGTATTTTTTTCCGGATGGCCAGCACTCACGGGTCAAAGGTATGAGTGCGGGACGTGGATATTAAGAAGACATGGGGACGGTTGCTTTATTCTCATTGTTTGCATTGTTCGCATTGTTCAGAATACAATGCGTCTCAACTCCACAACACTGAAACATGTAACCTTGGCACAACGCTCGATGACAATGCAAATTGTATCGGCAAGTACGCCATGACAATCTTTTTTTGGGAAAAGCGTTACAACTCACTGTTTTCTTGTTGTGTTGAGTCTAGAGGAAAGGGTTTGATTGGACTGATCGCTGTTGTCGAGAACACCACAGGGTACAATTTGGAACGACCGACGGCATAGGACGAAAACTGCTCAGAACGAAGACGATTCTCATCGTACCGTGTTGGCTATATAGCTTCTTGCTGTGCTTATTCGCAAGTAATAATTTTTCATCCCTATTGCACGAGTTTCAATTAGCCGATCAAGTAGGCCCAAAAATTACCAGGGAGGCATACACCTTTCTAGAGTAACATCAAGGATATACAAATATCACAGCGGGTCATTCGAACAGCTCGGCTTCAAAGGCTCTAAAGCTATTATGAGAGTTAACGACGTCACTTCCGAAATTCTGCACATACAAGTTAGCGTAACACTCGACAAAGCACACAGGCAATATAAGGAGAAATCAATTTAAGCAAATATCAATTGATGAAAATACTTAGTAGGAAAAAAGGAAGACCCAAAACCCAAAACATAGAAGCATGTGTGCAACTACTACTTGATAGAAGACTCACTTCGGAAGAGGAAAACTAACAGAAAGTCAAATCAGCAGCGGTGTGAGAGGGGGGCAGTAGGTGATCAGAATGTTCAACCTTCTTCCCAACCGCCCTCCTCGCCGTATTCCGAATCATCCTGCCGCACCTCCTAAATCCCCTCCTAACCTTCTTTTTCGTCCACTTCGGCAACTCGCCCACAGCCACATCTCTCAAGTCCAACAAACTCACACCCCTAATATCACCACCACCAAGCGAACCAGACATACGATCCGACTCCAGGGGCAAGTCCTCGCTGATAAACGAGCAGTACCGCTGGTGGTATGGCTCGCTGCCCGACAGAAAGCCAAGCGACTCCGCCTGCCCGAACAGTGGTGCCGGCTGCACCGACGAGCTCGGCCGGTAGGCGTAGCTGGCTGAGTCGAGGGAGTCAGACGCGGGCATCGATTCGCGCGAGTCAGAGCTGTAGTTCGTGGTGTAAGCACGGCTGTCCGTGTTGTCATCATCGTCGTCGCTGAGCACGACGCTGCTGCCGGCGCAGTGGTGGCCGAGATCGACGCTCCACCCGCTGCGGGGCGTGTGTGGCTCCGGGAAGGAGCGGGGGAATCTGCTGCGCCGACGGTGGGGGTCGCGGTGGTGGCCGATGTATTGCGGCGGTGTGTGGGCTATGCTGCTGTGCGTTGATGGGCTACGAGAAAGGGGGAGCTCCGAGCCGTAGTAGCTGCCGTCGAAGTCGTCCCAGACGCTCTCTGTCTCTGGGCGTGAGTAGAACAGCGGCGGCGTGGCGCAGATGCTTAGGTCTGAGGCTTCGCTGTTGGATCTCGGGGCTGCGTTTGTGGCGCCAGTATCCGAGGTGTGCGGCTCAGCTGCACCTAGGAAGGAGTGCTGAATCGGCCGGCCTGGGGTCGGGACCGGCGACGGGGTGTCCAGTGGTGGCGAACTGGGGAGGTCAAGCATCGACTTGCTGTAGCGGCCCATTCCTACCAGCATGGAGGCAGGGACACTGCGATACTGCTTCGTGGAAGCCTGCTCGTGCAGGTGCGCGCTGAAGTAGAAGACTGGCGACTTGTCTTTGGGTGACAGGGTAGGCTGGAGGACTTCAGCAAGGCTAGAGTAGCCCCCTTGAGCTTGTCCACGTACAGGCATGGATGCCTTGGATTTGAGGGGACGCCTCATTTCCAGTCTATGGTCGGTCTTTTCACGCTGCAGAACCGAGTTCAGCATTGAAACTCGCCAATGCGTGTCTGGTTATGTTCTGGGTGACTCGAGATGTGAGCAAGTGAGCAACTAAGCTTGTCTGGATCGTGGCCCGCTATTATTGCAAGAAGGCAATGGGCTCATAAATTACGAGAGCCAAGTCGCTGGGTGACCTTGTACTCGAACAAATCTCGTTGTAACTGAACAATGTTGTGTCGTTTTTGAATGGAACAGCGCAAGCAAGAGACGAGGCGTGTGAATGGATTGTGTGAACAAAGAGTTAAACGAGTTTTTACTGCAGCATGGTCGCGAAACTCACAGTCAACCTGGTCTAGGCTGTTTAACACATGTAGAATAATAAAACAAAATAGACACTAAAAATTATATTCAAAGAAACTTATACCACTTACCTGGAAAACCGCAATACTTACCTGATGATGAAAACGACTATGAAAGGAAACCGACTATGGAAGCGCACCAAGCGGTGGCTTCAAGAAACCGGAAATGACCGTGGAAGGGCATCAAGCGATGCCTTGAGAAAGAATCAGAAACTCAACTATGGAAGCGCATCAAGCGATGGCTTCAAAGCAAATCAGAAAGTCAAACCAGAACTCCAAGCCAGAAACCCAAACAGGAGATCAAACATGAGAGAAAGACTGACCTGCAGTACTCACCTCAGTCGGAAGAAAGACTTACCTGCTCTACTCCCCTCAGTCGGAAGCACGACTAACCTTCTCGACAGCCTTCTTCCACAGGCCCTTGTTAACACTCTCGCGCTTCTGGGAGCTCAACTGGCGCTGCAAGTCAGCCTTCTGCCTCTCGGCATCCATGCGCATGGTCGACTCGATCTCGTCGAAAGTAGTCGCAACCCTACGCGGGGGCTCAGGGGACAGAGGCTGTTGCCTCGGCGGCTGGCGTGGCGGCATCGAAGGGCGAGAAACCGGGGGCGGCTGTTGCTTCTGCTGGTTCACGTTAGCAGGACGTCTCGGCAGGCGGATGGGAGGGTAGATGATTTCCACTTCTCCCACAAACTCGTGTTGGCGCTGGATAGGCTGAGCCGGTGACCGGGGCTGCTCACTCTGGTCGTCCACGTTGGCAAAGCGGACCTGCTTGCGAGCCTGGGGTTGCTGGGCCGGCAGCAGAGGCTGTTCATCGTCCTTTTGTTTCACGTTAGCACGGCGGACAGCGTTAGCACGATGGATATGCTGGCGCGACGGGGACAACAGTGCATCCGTAACCTCCCCCCAACTGCTACTCTTGGCACGAGCAGCAACCTCACCTTCCTTCACGGTCGTCTCTTTGACCTGGACCGTACCGCTCGGGACCGACTGTACAGGCATTGAGACTGCCAGCTGACCCGACATGGTGAAAGGATTGCGCCTGCGACGGATCGCAGGCCTACGGCGCAGATCAGTATGCTGTTGAATACTGGTATGCTTCTCTTGCATACTGGATTGTTCGTCTTGCATGTTGGATTGCTGGCCTTGCATACTTGAGATGAAGAGCCTTGTAAGTGTTATGATAAAAAAAATTCATGGCATTGCAGAAAACAAACGGTTTAAATACGGGTGGGGATACAGTGTAGCGATAACATGATCGTGAACAAGACTGGAACTGTTCCTGAATATGTATGCTGATCAAAAACAAGGGATACATGAAAAGTGAACATTCCTTTTGTTCCTGCACAAAGCCTAGTATGAAGGAAGCGTCAGTTACGGCGAGCACTGACTGGAAGAATGGAGAAGGATGAAAAAAA